CTATATATATATATATATATATATATATATATATATATATATATATATATATATATATATATATATATATATATATATATATATATATAACGTTAGATCCTCCATATTTACAAACTTTTATCTTATTTTGAAATATTACTTTTCCTTTTTCAAAATGACGATAAGAGTCTGTTTGACAACAACTGATAAACTTTTACATCTGATAAGTTGTTTTTAGAGATAATAAGTTGTTACGTCTTATTTTTACTCATTATAAGAAATTAAAAAAAATAGAGTAGATGTACTTTTAAAAAAAAAATTAGAATTTTTAAGATTTAAAAAAAAAAAAAAACTACCAAGCACTTTATAAAGTCTTACAAGCTCTTAAATATCTTATAAACTCTTTTTAACTGCTTATACGTATAGCCAAGCGCCTTCTAAGTAAATAAGAGAATGAGTAAATTTGCCTTGAAATAATCCATTTTTTTGAAATTTATGTAATCTATCTTATTCATAAATTAAATATGATACTAAATAATAGAATCCCATGTCTTTAAATAAAAATAAAATAAAATCATGACCATGAGAATCGAAACATAAATTGTAGAATCTTGCATCAAATGCATTGGGATTTTCTCAAAATTCGAAAAGATATTCTCGACCTTATAACCATAGATTTCATGAATTGCAGATGAGAGAGATTTCCGTCCATATACATTTTTTATAATATTTTTTATTTTATATAAATATATATAGACATATTTATTTAAAAAATATTTATAAATGTAAACTGTATATATATATATATATAAATATATATATATATATATATAAATAGGATATGATTGTTAAGTCCAAGATTAATATTTATTATTTACAGCACCCAAGCATAAAGAAGATCATATATAATTAATAAGTTATTAACAAATAAAATACAAGAATGAGTTGCCATGCAAAATAAAATCTAATCCAGCTGTGCATGATTTGTGGATCATATATATATTGAATATGAATATGTGGGTACATAATCATCGTTAATTTACACACACCCATTCATATATTAGTGTGTTTAAGTGAAGGGAAAATAGACACAGTTTAGACTAAAACGAGTATAAACTATAGAATATTCCATGAAATTTAAAAGATTATGTTGAATTCGATACCGTAAAGGTGGACGTGCAAGAAAATTCATAATTAATGTATAGTTGCATAATTATCCGAACATATAGAAGTTTTTCGTAATTTAATCTTACTTTAAGAATGGTTGTAATTTACCCTTTTATTTTAGTATATATTTAACTTCGGTGAAAAATAAAATTACCATACTGCCACGCTCACACAAGATTCACAACATTTTGATACCCTACCACGCAAGGGTATACCCTAAACATGGCAGCATTGATGATTTATTATTTATTAATAAATTAAATCAAATTGCACAGAAGGTCAAGGAAGCAAGAAAGTGATTGCGTTTGGTTTGATTATATTCATTAATTAATTAATTGAATTACTGATCCAATTTTCGAAAACATATATAATAACAGATATAATATCTATTGTAGATTGTGGGCACATGTAATGCGCATTATTACACATATTTGTGTGTATAATATGTACATAAAACTTCGATAAGTTAATAATCTTACTTGAATAATACTTTCTTCAGGCTCCAACTCGAAAAAAATGTATCAAATTATTAGTTCGATAATTTAATATTTCATTAAATTAATAGGATTTTGTTAGTCCTCACTGTATACATAATTAACTTTACAAAATCCTTAATTAATAAAGAATGATGAAGATTCTTCTAAAAGATTATTGATCCTATATATTATTAACAGATTGATCCTATTAACAAATATTCTAGCCAGCAATTCATTATTATTTTAATCATTATTTATGTGATTACGCAATCTTCTAGATGGTCCTACAATATTATTCATGATTATTTAAAATGATATATACCTAGTAACGGTCTACTTTAATTTTTTTTTTTTAATATGCGGGTAAATTTTATTGAGTCACAAAATTTCTACTAGTCTGTGTTCGACAGCAATTGTTAACGTGGGGAGGCCCGGCCCGGATATGAGCGGCTCACAGTCAAATATTGTAGGCGATGTGTGTGTTGAATAAACTATACGGGTTAATGAATCACCGAACCAGCACTCAGGAACCGTTTTGTTGCATCTATTTGTTCCGATCAATCCGAAATTGATTTTAGGACAACTAGCCAGTAGCGCCTAATGTCCTACAAGTGGTATCAAAATTGAGGTCACGGGTTCGATTCCCCGTTAATTAATACATCTTTTGATTAATCTAAAGTTAATTAATACATCTGGAAATGAGGCATGGGAAGCTGCAAGGAAAGTCTAGGCTCACATGCATGTGAAGATACTATTATTTATATAATATGATAAGAAATATTAAATAAAATATAGTTAAATGGATTTTAAAAGTCTACAAGAACCCTAACATGCCTTCTCATTTATAATTAGGAAATACTAGTAAATAACATTTATTTTTTAAATTAACATATATTTCAAATATAGTGAAAGATATATATCTTAAAAAAAATAGAATACGTTATGTTACATCCAGTAAACTTTATCGAGTAACATTCGAGATATAGCATACGCGTGTAAATATTTTACACACATATTATAACTATATTTTAATTTACGGTGATAGCATACACGATAGATTTCACTCGATGTAAAACTACAAAACCATGTTTGTCTTAATTATGCCTATCAGAGAAGATCTAGGAAACGAACATTCACAAACCCAATTGCTTTCAGGATCTATCTTAGATGTGGTTCTAATTAATGTCATAAATACATCAATTTATGGGGGTAAAATTGTATTTAATTAATCTTCTATTAATAATTTCATTATATTAATAAAAAGAAAAAAAAAATCATTGTAAGACTTAGCAAGTATATCAAGTATTCACTTTTGAATTAAGGGATAAAATATGATGATAACTCCTAACTTATAGGGCTAGCATTTGTTTTTTTCTATAAGAAATTATCATAGATAATATTTTTCGAGTTCGCGTCTTATCCATTTAATTCAAATATATATTTCAAGTGCAATGTTTTAAATGTAATTTGTCTGATACATTTCACTAACAGTTTAACTTTTGATTGAAGTGGTAGTTACGTTCAACTGTTCGAATCCAAAAAAAATGAACACTACTTACTAAATAATTAATCAAATCTAATATAATCCAAATTAATCTGATATATATGTTATCAATCGAGATCGTGAGAAATGCAACGATCCATAGAACACATTATTAAGATAGTTATATGGTAATTAATTCCTCAAGTGGCAATAGTGGTGGGTAAATTAAAATCAAATTGAATATATGATATAAGAAATATAAGCCATATATATGTAGATATATACATGTTGAAGTATTATTTTAATAAATAAATACATTATTATAAAAAAAAAATGGAGAAGGAAGATTCCTAGTGAAGAAATGGTGGCATGGTTTATTGAAGAATATGGGCACAAATTTAGTTTTACTTATCTTTTTTATTATTGCTTTAGTTTTTAACTTCAAATGTTGTCGGAAGAAATCCAGGGAAACTTTGCTTTTGCATGCTAGATTAGATTCATACATATATATATATATATATATATATATATATATATATATTCTCTTTATAAATTAATTACTACTCTTTGTGGCTGTCAGAACAACACGTAACAACTTGCATTTATCATTAATCATATGTTCGTGTACAACATGCATTAATTTTATATATATAGTTTGAAATGTTGACTTATAAAATTTACATAGAAAAAAAATTACAAGGGAAATATAGTAGAAGAGTTTTGTGGAGTTTCTATCCATATTGAAGGGGTTCAAAAAATTAATTTTTATTTATTTATACATATTATAAAAAAGAACAAAATTGGGTCTGATTTTGTAAAAAGAATGATATAGTATTTAAAAATTATTACACGAAAAAAATAAATAATATAAGGGCTTCCATAAGGTTTTTTTTTTCAATGTTTAATGGGCGGGTTGTGTCTGGCGGGCCGGGTGGCCCACTGGAGCAACACTATATTCTGCAATTTGGTTTGGGACCATCGAAATATTATGTTATTTATTTGGCCCAATTTCTCCATATAACATTTTTTCAGTTTTGTGGATGTGACCGTGTTCGGGTTTACCTAGTAGTCTAACCGACGTGAGTGAATTTTTACTATTGATGTAATTAGGGGTGTGAATGAGTCGAGCTCGTGTATTTTGATTGGTTCGAGCTCGATCTCGTCGACTTTTTTTGTTTTTTTTTTAACTCGAGCTCGAGCCGGAGCCCAAGTTCATTTTGATTTTTTTTTTAATTATTATTGTTAATAGTCATTTAGATTATAATGAAAAAATTTACAAAATAAACAATAAACTATAATTATATTTTTTTTTAATATGTATTTGGTCTTTTTAATTATTTCTATAATATTTTATATGACTATACATTATTTGAATAAAAAATAATATATAAAAATAAACAATAAATAAAGAAAATAAGGCTCGCGAGTCAGCTTGTTGAGCCCACGAACAACTATAAAAAAGTTCGAGCTCGACTCATCAGAAAGCTTGAGCTTGAACTTGAAAAACTCGAGTTTGAGTTTGAGTTCGAGTTTTTTTCGAACAGACTCATCGAGCTCATAAGTTGTCCCAACTCATTTACCACCGCTAGATCTAACTAATTATTTAGTCAGTAAGTAAGATGTTTGATTCAATATTATATTAAATTTGTTAAGTTCTGGTATCAAATATGAAATGTCGAAAAACTCTTTTAATTAACAAAATTAAGATATTATTTGAAGGACAAAATTGTCTTTTCCTTTTATTTTTCTATAGCTAAAAATGTAATTTGAAAATTTGAAATGAATATATATAAAACATAAATAAAAACAATTGCTAAATAACACTTCGATTCTTACCTTACCAAAAATTAAAAAATGTAAATAATAATAATACAAAAAAGAAAACAATCACTGTAATCAGATTAAATGAGACGATGATAAAATGGTGATATGGGATAAGGATTTGACGCCCCACGTTTCATTTCCCTCTCTTTCGTTACCCTTTCTATACATCCCTTTGTCTGAAAAATAATAACTCAATCCTTTTTCATTTCCATTTTTCATACCTCAAGGTTTGATTTTTTCTGTAATTTCACCTGTTATTTTTATTTTTCTGAATCTTCACTTCTGTTGTTGAAGATGGGTTCCGATGAATTGCTTTCTTTTGCATTTCTTGTTTATTATGGCGGTGTTGATTGTTCAGACAACTACTGTGTTTTTATTGCATTCTTTTAATTATGATTCATTCTTTACCCGGTATATGTGGTTGGGAATTGTTCTCGATTAGGGTTCTTATATTTGTAAACTGCAATTAACTAGTAATTCGAAATGGGAATCAATTGCAGTGTTCTAAGGAATTTGCTGAGTAATGTTGTTGTGTTCATACTTGTTTGAATTTTTAATCGGGCTTTTTAAACTTATCTTCGAGCTCGAGCCGAGATTCATAGCTTATCGAATATCGAGTAGTTTGGTTTGATTTTGAGCTGGATAGTGTGACTAATTCTGATAATCCGGCTTACATTTTGTGAGATTAAGTTGTTTCGTTAATCTTGAAATATTATGAATTGAATTCGTGCGTGCGTTTTGTAGTTTCTGCTGATGGTAATGTGTATTTTTTTTCGAATGCTCGGTTTAATGCTGTTCGTTATTCTCAGGTGATTTTTTGATTGAAGTGATGAATTGACTGTTTTAGCTGCTGACCGATTCTCCTACACTCGAAACTAAATGGCTCCCGTAATCCCAAATTCGACCAATAGCATCTCGATCACGCCCGTAATCACCTCAATAACGAACAAAACCAGCTCTCTATCCCAATGCAGCTTCACTAAAAATCTCAACAAGCAAAAATTGCCCGCCTCCAAATACACCAGCCCTCTCTCAACTTCCGTTCGTTTGTTCCCCCATTTCCGCTTCGGGTCCAATTTGCTAAAACCAAAGCTTCAAACTCACCTCGTATTCGCCACCGGCACCGATGTTGCTGTGGAGGAGACGAACGTGTCGGTGTCGGAAACAAAAGAAGATGCAGAATCCCCTCCTGTCCAATCAGAAGCCAGTCCTCCGACCACTCAATCGAAAAGGCCAAGGGTTGTAAGAAAGAGCGATATGCCACCTGTCAAGAACGAGGAGCTTATTCCCGGAGCAAGTTTCACCGGAAAAGTCAAATCCGTTCAGCCATTCGGTGCGTTCGTTGACTTCGGAGCTTTCACAGACGGGCTCGTGCATGTTTCGAAGCTGAGCGATGGGTATGTAAAAGATGTTTCGACTATAGTATCGGTCGGGCAAGAAGTGAAAGTTTGGGTAGTGGAAGCTAATATGGAAACGGGGCGAATATCTCTAACCATGCGCGAAAGCGACGACCCCACGAAAGTGCAGCAAACCGACGAAAAACCAAGACCGTCTCCGAGGAAGTCGACCGGTCCAAGAACTAACCAGAAGAGAGACGATTCGAAGAAGTCAAAGTTTGTGAAGGGGCAGGATTTAGAGGGGACGGTCAAGAATCTCGTACGAGCTGGCGCTTTTATTTCGCTTCCGGAAGGTGAGGAGGGTTTCTTGCCTACTTCGGAAGAAATTGACGAGGGTTTGGGTCATATTATGGGAGGTTCTTCGCTCGAAGCTGGACAAGAAGTTAGTGTTAGGGTTTTGCGTATCGCGAGGGGGCAGGTGACTTTGACTATGAAGAAAGAGGAAGATTCTGCCAAGTTGGACTCGAAGTTGACTGGTGGGATTGTGCATACCGCTACGAACCCTTTTCTTTTGGCTTTCCGTGGTAATAAAGAAATATCCGCCTTTTTGGACGAGAGTAAAAAGAATGATGAATCGATTGAAGACAAGAAAGAAGAGGTACAGGGAATAGAGGCGGCAGCCTCTGTAGTGGTGAGTGATGATGTCATCGAGAAGGAAGCTGATGTGGCAATAATAAACGAGGGTGAACCTGAGTTGGCTGAAGAAGTAGCTGATCAGACAGTATTGTCTGAGAGCGGTGAAGAAGTTGTCGAGGCGGAAGCTGATGTGGCAATAATAAACGAGGGTGAACCTGAGTTGTCTGAAGAAGTAGCTGATCAGACAATATTGGCTGAGAGCGGTGAAGAAGTTGTCGAGAAGGAAGCTGATGTGGCGATACTAAATGAGGGTGAATCTGTGGTGTCTGAAGAAGTAGCTAATCAGGTATCTTTGTCCGAGAGTGGTGAAGAAGCTATCGAGGGGGAAGCTGATGTGGCAATACTAAACGAGGCTGAATCGGAGTTGTCTGAAGAAATAACGAACGAGACAGTGTTGTCTGAAACTGTGGAAGAAGTTGTTGAAAAGATAGCCGATGATGTAACAGAATCGAGTGAGGAAAAAGAAACTTCTGCAACTATTTCTGAGGATGGTGGCAGCAACGGAAGCTCGAGTGCTGAAGTTGATTCGCCGGTTATCGAGACCGCAACCACAGGTTCTTCAATATGATTTGTATTTGTAGGGAAAAAAAAAATTAATCTTTTTTTTTTTGCTAGAGAAACATTTCCGAAACGCGGCTCCAAAAAACTTTGTTGTTTATCTCTTGTTGATTTGTAGTTTGGTAGTTCATTGCTTTCGTAGGTTGATTAATCGAATAACTTTTCATTAATCTTTGCTTCTGAGTCATCTACTTTTTAAGCATTCATTCATACATTATTTACCTGCAAAAAACACTTAAATTACCAAAATGCCGTAAAAATAAGAAAAATATCTACACGATAACCGAAAAATCAAGATTTAAAAGTAATGAAAATAGATTGCAAAATCGTGAACACTTCATTTTCATAACAAAAAAAAAAAAAAGCAGAAAACAAGAACATATACGAAAGGCTGTTATTTCTGATCCACCTAGACCTAAATATTGCAGCTGCTACCGCCACAATACCGCCAGCTCTCGTAAAGCAGTTGCGAGAAGAAAGTGGGGCAGGAATGATGGACTGCAAGAAAGCCCTATCGGAAACCGGGGGCGACATAGTAAAAGCACAGGAGTATCTCCGAAAGAAAGGCCTAGCGAGCGCAGACAAGAAATCGAGCAGAGCCACAGCCGAAGGCAGAGTCGGTTCCTACATACACGACAGCCGCATCGGCGTCCTGATCGAGGTCAACTGCGAGACGGATTTCGTCGCGCGAGGCGACATATTCAAGGAACTCGTCCAAGATTTAGCTATGCAAGTCGCCGCATGCCCGCAGGTGAAGTACCTCAATACAGAAGATTTTCCGAAAGAGATAATGGATAAGGAGAGAGAAATCGAGATGCAGAAGGAGGATCTTTTGTCGAAGCCCGAGCAAATTAGGGAGAAGATTGTGGAAGGGAGATTAAAGAAGAGTGTCGAGGAAGTTTGTTTGATGGAGCAGCCTTTTATTAGAGACGACAAGGTGGCGGTTAAGGATTGGGTGAAGCAGACGATTTCGACTGTCGGGGAGAATATTAAGGTGAAGAGGTTCGTGAGGTTTAATTTGGGGGAGGGTTTGGAGAAGAAGAGTACGGATTTCGCGGCGGAGGTTGCCGCTCAGACTGCCGCTAGAGCGGCGGCGGCTCCTCCTGCTGCACCTGTGGAACAAGAGGCGGCTGTTGCTGCTGAAACTGAGGAAGCTGTCGAAAAGTAAGTATATATATGCCCGACTGAACTATATATATACATATACGTATATATTTACGTAAGTAGTTTATTCTTTATTGACGAAGACTGTGTGTGGAAATTGGAGCTGCATTTTCAAATTCTGCTGTTTCTGATTTCGATATATATTTTTTTTGAACAATCGATTTTTTGATTCTGATTTCTGATATTGGCGGTTTCTGATTCTTTCGGAAGTTTTTCGACTGGAAAATGGGAAGTATACAAATATTATCGGAAAATCCGATTTTTTCGATCTCATTTTAGTTTCCAATTTTTTTCAAAAATTCCATTTTTTTTCCCAAAAACTTGTTTATTTGATCTTTTTTTGCAATTTTTTGTAATGTCTGAATATTGTACACAGGCCCACAAAAGCACCAGTTTCCGCCGCACTCGTAAAACAACTGCGGGAAGAAACCGGAGCAGGAATGATGGACTGCAAGAAAGCCCTCTCCGAAACAGGGGGCGACATAGTAAAAGCACAAGAGTACCTCCGAAAGAAGGGCCTCTCAAGCGCCGACAAAAAATCAAGCAGATTAGCAGCCGAGGGCAGAATCGGAACATACATACACGACTCTCGAATCGGGGTCCTAATCGAAGTCAACTGCGAGACCGACTTTGTGGGTAGAAGTCAAAACTTCAAAGAACTAGTGGACGACATAGCCATGCAAGTGGCTGCATGCCCACAGGTGCAGTACGTTTCCATTGAAGACATTCCGGAAAGTTCCATTGAGAGAGAGAAACAGTTGGAGATGCAGAGAGAGGATCTTCAGTCGAAGCCGGAGAATATACGAGAGAAGATTGTCGAAGGCAGGATTGCGAAGAGGCTTGGAGAGATTGCTCTGTTAGAGCAGCCTTTTATTAAGGATGATGGTTTGTCTGTTAAGGATTTGGTTAAGCAGACAGTTGCTTCGCTCGGTGAGAATATTAAGGTTAGGCGATTTGTTCGGTTCACACTCGGCGAGTGAGAAATCGGGAATTGAAGTCTTGAGTTGCAGTTGAGGTAAAAAAAAAAATATCAAAACAATTTTTGTTCTGTACAAGGCAATCTGTTTTTCTTTTTTTTTTTTTTTGTTTGGAAGGTTATGTTTTGGTGTAATATTGATCACAGTTTTGTAGAGATTCGTTTCGAAATTTTACATTTAGCCGATGCATATGGTCGTATAAATCGGATATATATAATTATACATATTATATATGCTCACATTTGTTTCTAAATATCATAAATATAATCTGGATGAGTAGTGAGAAAATCAATTTTCTCTTACAATACAAAAGTGCACATTGCAATTTTTTTTCAAAGTTGTGAAAGAAGCTCAAATACACAAAGCTACGAATCCTTTGATCTATCGGTTTTCGGAACGAATCGCCAGAGATCCACAGCCACGTCAACTTCCTTTTTCTTGTGAAATTTGTAGAGTTGGGGCACATCAAACCGAAGCTAGAGAAAAAGGAAACGATAATTAATTTTTCGTAAAAAAAAAACTCGTAAGTTTGTATCGAGCCATTTCTGCTACTAATGCTAAAACTATTGTGTAGTGAAAAAACTAGGTCAAGAATATGTACCTCGCATACAACTTCGGCACTACGTGCATTATAGTCTCTCAAAGCTGTTCTTTTGATGTGCTGCACTCAAGAAACAACGAAATAGTGAATATATTAGCAAGATTCGCACTTACTTTCATTTTAATCTTGTTTTAAGTACAAAATTCAGACCGAAATATCCAAGATCGAATATGAACAAGAAAACGAGAATAATTTAGCAAGATTAAGAACACTTACATCTCTTGTTGTGGTCTTATGCAAAGAATAAACTGCCTGAGAAGCAACCTGACATACGATTTTTCCGACAAATAAGATAAAAACGCAAGAAGCAGAATTGCATATTTTACGTTCAATAAAACAGCACGAACAAAAATAATGTAGTTCATGGCTGTCTGTACCTTTAAAGCCACGGATAGAAATTCCATGTCAGCTCCTTTCTTCCTCGTTCCAAATGGAGGATTCATTACAACGGTATCAATATTTCTATCTACGCATAGGACAAAAGCAGTCATATTTCATCATAGATTTAATCAATGTATGCTTTAAATTGAGAGTGTCGGTGCAGAAGAACTACCTGACAGCCCTAAGTTCCTGATATCACATTGAACGAAATCCATGTCTAACTGCAAGTTTTTAATTCATAAAGAAAGGTAAAAAAGTTAAAACGAAAAAAATCAAATTATTATGCAATAAAAAAGTACATCAAGGTATATAAACGTTGACTACAGGTTAAGGCACACTTGAAATTGAAAAAAAAAAAAAAAAAAAAAAAAAAAAACACGAAAACAGCCAGAACTTTGGTGAAATCCAACTATACCATAACTCACATCTTCACCGAATAAGCAAAATAAACAGAAAAGCGTAACCACTAATCATGTACAACTATCAGGATACATACACATCAAAAAGTACCTCTAGTTCATCTGCATTAGAGTATGCAATTTCGATAGATTCCGCGTCGATATCAAATCCAATAACATGCCTGAGTCAATAACAACATGAGCTTCAACAACCACTACCAAATTACATCATATTTTAAAATAAAAAATTCATCCTACAGCATATTTGGAAAAAAAAGGGCAAAATAAATAAAAATAAAAGAGAAGACGATTTTACTAACTCTGCACCCAAAAGAGCAGCAGCCAATCCCAGTGTACCGCAGCCACAACCGAAATCGGCCACGACTTTATCCGTCACATCCCCGAATGAATTCTCTGCCTGAATTTATGCTAAAGATAGATTCTTTAAGTGCACACATACAACACAAGTACTGTACATTAATATCAAATTAGGGAAAAATCAGAGATTTTGAAAATGGGATAATTATTACAGTGTAGAGCAATCGAGATGCGATGTGGGGTCCGGTTGGATATTGTTCCAATTCAATCTGTTTCGCCATAAGAGGATTGCCATATTAGGGTTTATCAGACAGCATAATCTATGTACAAATCAAACGAATAAACAGACGCAAATGGGCGTCGAATATTCTTCGGAGAAAATATTGAATTGAGGGTTAGAGAGAGAGAGAAAGACCTTGGGGTTATCGAACTGTTGAAGAGAGCCGAGAAGGCTCTCTAACTGCTTCAGCTTCATCTTCAATTTGGGGGAAGCTCTGGCGCGTGCAACACACTTGCTGGATTACAAAAGCCCTAACCTACACACACCATTTCCCAGAAATATACAGCAGAAAAGGAGAGGGAAAATTACTACAAGTGGAAGCTGCTCAAGCATCAAAGTATATTTTTTAGTTTTTTTCTTTATTATTATTATTATTATTGTTATTATTATTATTATTATAGTACTTATATTCTAATAAATAATTATAAATGAACTGAAATTTAGTTTTTCAAATTTTATATATATTTATTATAGGATAAATTACGGTCACCCCTTTATTAAGGTCAAGTTACGAAAATACCCTTTTCTCTTTGAGTAATTACAACTATCCATCGATTATGAATCTTCCGATACGTTCACTCTTATAGATTATGTGGCATCATTTAGAAACAATAGTTTATTTTTAACGAAGAAACGATTTAAAAAAAAAACTTGGCCCAAGCCCAAACTATAGGCCCATACGAGCATACAAAACTACAGAGGCAAAGTTGTGGGCCCAGGCCCAAAGTATGGTCATAACTCATACAAGCTTATAACACCACATAGGCACATGCCAAATTATTTAACCACACAAAATCACAACAACAACAACAACAACAACAACAACAACAACAACAACAACAACAACAACAACAACAACAACAACAACAACAACAACAATAATAATAATAATAATAAATAAAAGAAAGGAGAAAAAGAAAAATAAATTAAAACGACATCTAACTTTTCAGTATCCACAATCAACAGTCGATTTTTTCACATTTTTCTTGTTCATTTTACCTTTCTTTCTTTAATATGGAAATAAAACAAAAAAAGAGATATAATTACGGGGACCTCTGAGGTATGACCAAATAACTTACACACTCATGTGGTATCGGTAATTTACAAATACCCCCTCAGATATTGCTTCGTCTAACAGTTACACCCGTACAAAGCTATGAGTAACAGAATCTTAAAGATTCCATAAAATATTCGATATGACTTTCCAGATCTACCCCCATGAGGATAAATGTAATACACCCACCCACAGGTTATAAATGTAATATTTTATCTTACCTGAGGGGATACTCGTAATTTATCCAAATTTTGTTTGTTTAATAAAAGAGTAATTTAGACAATTCCTTCATTCCGTTAGGGTTGATATTTTTACGGGGTATTTATAATTACCACTACCACATGGATTTATATGTTGGTTAGTTTATCTGCAATTTGCCCAATAAATAAAAATAAAGAATTCATAAACATTCCCAATAAGTCACGTGCACAACAGTCATTGGATCACGGGGGAATTTATCTTGGTAGATTTTTCACGTGAATCCTACAAGATCATGTGTAATTCGAACGAGGCATAACAAGTCAAAATCTAATCCTATAATATTATTAATTCAATTTGGTATTTGAATACACATATTGATATAAATCGACAATATAGCTTAGGTAAATAAATGAAATGAATGATATACGCAATCTAAATTTACGAGATAAAGTATCAATTGATTGAGAATTTAGTTGGAAAATATTTTATATTGGGCACAATAATTGATGACGTGGCAACTGTCGTGTGATTATGAAATAATGACCAAAATTGGTCGACAATAATATAATGGGACGTTTACATGTCACATCTCTATATTACAAGTTCTATACGTTCATGATGGGAATGAATACTATCAAACAAATTAGATTCATTTCAATCGTCACGCAATTAAATTTTTCAATGCTTTCATTATGTATATAAGAATCATATATATATATATATATATATATATATATATATATATATATATATATATATATATATATATATATATATATATATATATATATATTATTGTAAGGTGGTCAGTCTGAGTCTGACAGCAATTATTTATGTGGGAGAGATTTCGGGTATGGACGGTCAACTATCGAATATCGTGGGCGATTGTGCGTACTGAATAAATGTGCTATAAAACTAGGGTTTATGCTTTTCCTGACACTAATTAGTTCTAGAATAACGGGTAGTGCATGAGGTCGTATTATAGATAAAAAAAAATTGTAATTTTCTCTTAATCCCAAAAATTATAACAACTTTAAATTTAATTATGGGACCAATGTTGAATAAAGTCACTTTCATAAAGTTATTTTTTCTTAGAAAAGTAAAATTCCCAATCTTTGTCCTCAAAAAATAAAGTAAAAAAAATAAAAATAAAATAAAATGATAATAACCACATGAACTTGATCAAAGAAAGCTTATATAATAATAATGGAATAAAAGTATAGGGAATATGAGGTGTGCTAAAAGACAAGGGAGAAAAGTTTAATTTTTTTTGCTAATGAGGACAATAAAGTTTAATTAAATAATTAAATTAAAATTGAGAAGGGAATAAAAAGTAATATGATTTAGTAAAGACAAGAAGCCCCCCGACAAAGATTTTAGCAGTACGGACCAGAAACATAAATAATTAAATTAATTATTCTCTAGTTTCAAGGGCATTTTTGTCTGTTTGCTGCCCCATAAAATTGTAGTTATCAAGGAGATTTTTGAAAAATTATAAAATTAATATATAAATTAGTAAATAATTGTAGGAAGAAATAATAAATTAATTGTGAAACATTCTTCTTGTAATATTCTATAGCATGTAACATTTTTTGGAAGATCCAACTCCTTTGCTTGTCATTATTATGTGGAGGTTGATATGATTCATATGTTATAAGAGATAAATTGATTAAATAATTTGAGTGTAAATCATAACTGCAAAAGATAAGGTTAAATTACGAAAAATTCCTTATGTTTGGGTAATTACAACCAACCCCATTTAACTATAAATCTTCTTACATATCGATCATTATAGTGTCAAATTTAGTGATTTTTTCTAAATTATGTGAAATATTCTTCAGTTTGTACCCGTTTTACCTCATTTGGGCTCCATATTTAGAAACAAGATGATCATAAAATGTGTCTCTTGGCTTGTAAATATCAGATTGTGGTGCATCTTATACTGTATTTTTGCACAAAACGAGTACAAACTAGAGAACATTCATGGATTTCACACCATAAGGGTGGACGTGTAAGAAGATTCATAGTTGAGGGGAGGTGGTTGCAATTACCCAAACAAGATGAGTTTTTTCGTAATATAACATTACCTCAGGGGCTAGTCGTAATTTACCTATAAATTTATTTATATGCAGTAGTATTATTTAAGTTATGAGTGAAAATAAATAATGACAAAAAAATCCTTGGTACTTGTGATAATTCCTTAGTAGTTGTTGTATAAGGTAATGGAATTTACAAGCCCCAAAATATTGACCACTTGAAAATTTGTGTAGAATTTGTTTCCTAGTATACTTTCTTGCTCAAGACAAACATAAAAGGGGCTCTTTGAGAAACCCCCTCATTATTTTTTTTAATTGAGGGAGGTCCAAAATATTTTAGTCCATGTGAGAAAAGGTCCACACCCATTTTCAGCCAATATGCTTTCCAGCTTTGTCCCCAACCGCCACATCATCACTGGGTCACGCTCAGCAAATTTTTTTTTTTTTTTTTTTTTTTCCGTTCTTTTTGCTAATCGACTATGAAGCATAGTCGATTAAGCATTAATCGACTATGCTTCATAGTCGATTAAGGAAATTATTTAATTATTTAATTTTTTTTTTGTTTTCTTAATTTTTTTTGTCTATATCAGGTGTATTAATCGACTATGATGAAGCATAGTCGATTAAGAATCTGCTACTTAACATAACATATTACAACTGCGAAAAAATGCAAAATCAACTATATTTTAGAAAGTATTACAAATATACAAACGTTATAAATGATTTATACAATTGAAACAATAGACAAGAAATCCAAAAAAAATAAAAAAAACTGGAGTCGATCAACCTTAATCGAATACCAGAACATAGTCGATTAGCTTAATCGACTATGAACATGTACATAGTCGATTAAGGTTTCAGCCACAAATAAACCCAAAATCGGCCTCCACATCGTCCCCACACCACCCAGAGCTTCTGCCATGGCCGAACCCGTCATATTTTGAGCATGTTCAGCTCCACCAATTAAGAAAACTAATTTAATTTAATTTAATCCCAATCCTAAATTAACTTAATCCCAAAAGCAACACCAGAATAGAGAATATAACTGATTATATTCATTCTTTATTACTACTTTAATTTTCTGTGTTCGTTTTCATTTCTATTTGCTAGAGAGAGAAAGTTAGAGAGAGAGAGAGAGAGAGAGATTGATGTATAGAAATGGCGGGTTACGAACATCAGCAAGGCTCCGGCGGCGGTGGTAATTCTTCTCGCTACGTTCATCAGCTTCTCACACCACCGACGGACCTCCACTTGCAGCAGAGGCCGCCGCCGTTGCCTTCTTCTCGTCTTGAAATTCATCACGAGCCGTCTGCTAATTCCAAGGACGACGACGCCGCCGCTACCACCAGCTCCGGGGGTACTCCCTCCGCCAACCGCCGCCCGCGCGGTCGTCCTCCGGGATCCAAGAACAAGCCCAAGCCCCCAATTATCGTCACGCGCGACAGCCCCAACGCGCTCCGATCCCACGTCCTCGAAATCTCACTCCAGCTGACGCGTGCGCGGAGACGACGGCGGCGGCGGCGGCGGCGGCGGCGGCGGCAGAATCCTCCTTACTCTCCTGTTGAGCTTTCTCCTGTTGAGATTTCTCACTAATTTGTGTGTGTGTGTGTGTGTGTGTGTTTTTATGTGTGCGAGAGAAAGAGGGGAGAGAGAGAGAGAGAGAAAGATAAGAGTGAGAAAGGGTGGTTTGGGAATTATTAAATAATATTTGGGTAGAATATTAGGTAAGGGGGTTTTCTCTAATTATTTTTGGGAGGGGGGTTTTTCTTAACTCATTTACCTAGATGAGGGGGGTATTGCTAATTATCCCAAAATAAAATGTTAAATTTTGGGGATAAGCTTATTACAAGTTACAACGGGGAGGGGGCTGCTGCTGTTTTACAGTGGGGTGTTCTAATTAATTTATATATATATATATATATATATATATATATATATATATATATATATATATATATATATATATATATATATATATATATATATATATTGCTATATCTATTTACGTGGAGAATAAAATTTAATTTTGTTTAACTAGAACATAATATAAAAAAAATATCAACTAAGCAATGTAAAAAAAAAAACAAATAGGTATATATTCTTTTTTTCTTCCTATAACTTTTTATGGCTGAACAGCGCGTGAGGATAAGACACTGTTTGTGTGCGCACAAAGAGATTAAAGACCATGTTTTTGTCACAATTTGCCAATACACTTCCAATTTGAACTATAAAATTGCTTATCTTAAAACCCTTATAAATAATAAAAAGAGTATCGAATTAAATAAATCATCAAATGCAAGAGCAAAAGTATGTCTATACATAGATGGCCACGGAAGTTAAATAAATAAACAAAATTAAATACGCATTAAAAATGTGGCTATAAGCCTATAACTATAAGTGATATAAAAAAGCAAAATATAATATTCGTGGAACTAATCAACTAAATATATTTTTTTTCGAACATAACTGTTTCCGACATTGTATTGGAGAAATTGTGAAAACAATTAATTTAAGTGGTCTTTAATTTATTTAAGATAATTCGATTTAGTTAGATTTGTTTGTGGTCTTTGATTCAATATATTGCGTCATGTGGTCGTCATGATTTCGTCATCAAAGTATAGGGTTCTTTAAATAGGTGGCCGGGACCATATAATCAATCAAGTTGGTCAGTTAATAATGCTAACCATGGTTAAAAAAACTTAAAAACTATTTACCCGTTTTACCATCTCGTCCCATTTTAAGTATCCTATTTAGCTTCTATAATTAAATTTTTAAGTCCAATTACGAAAACATCTCTAATGTTTGAATAATTACAATCACACCCTTTAACTATGAATTTTCTTACACGTCCTCTCTTACGATGCGAAATTCAACAGAATCTTCTAGATCGGTGGGATGTTCACTAGTTTGTACTCATTTTGCGCAAAAATGCAGTTTCTGATGCACCATAATCTGATATATACGAGCCAAGAGACTACTCATCTTATGATGATCTTGCTTCAAAATGTGGAGCTTGAATGAGGTAAAACGGGTACAAACTGGAGAGTACTCCACATAATCGAGAAGATTTTACTAAATTTGACACCGCAAATGTAGACGTGTAAGAAGATTCATATTTTAAGGGTGTTGTAAGTTGTAATTACTCTAATATAAGGGGTTTTTTTTTCGTAATTTGACCTTATCTCAAGAACTACCGTAATTTACAAAATAAAAAAATTAAAAATAAAATAGGGTACCGCCTTTTTTTCCACAACTTTATAATAATAATAATAATATATGGTGATAAAAGCAAAAGCAAAGAAAAGGAAAAACATAAAAAGGAAGAAAGAAAGGAAAAGGAAAGCTAATAAAGAAAAGGAATTAAAGAAGGAGACGACACAAACACAAAGGTCCTCCTCCTCTCCTCTCTCATATATACATACACTTTCTCTCTCTACATTTTCTGATACTTAATCAAGTGTGTAGAGAGAGAGAGAGAGAGAGAGAGAGAGAGAGACCCTAGAAAAAAAAAAGAGTGTTTGTACAAACACCACTTGAAAGAAAGAAAAAAAAAAAGGAAAAGTGAAAGTGAAAGATTCATCACACAAAGTAAAAAAGAGAGAAGAAGAAGACTATATACATTATTGAATATATATAATAATATTTATTATATATCGACCTTTATTTAATTAATTTCAACAGAGATATATAATGAATCACGGTGGCGTGCAGAGCTCGCCGGTGCAGCAGATGGTGGCCGCCGGCAGCCCCACCTGGTGGAGCATCAACAACATAAGACCCCCTCTCCACCACCACCCCTTCTCCGCCGCCCCGCCGCCGCACCACCACCACCACCATGATCATCATCAGTTCGCACCGCCCTCATCGTGGAATCATGATGATGACGACTACGGCCTCCATGCTGACTCGTGGAGCCAACTTCTCCTGTACACTTTCTCTCTCTTGTTCTTGATGCATGCACACAGCACATGCAATATCTATATATATATATTTAATTTCTTTTTTTTTTAAATATTTTTTCCAGAGGAGGATTGGTCGGGGAAGATGAACATATTCAGGCGAAGAAGATGGAGAATTGGGAGCAACAATTTCTGAATAATAATAATAATCATCAGAATATTTCCAAATAATAATGCTATAAAGCAAGAAAATAATATTAATGTAATGGGCACTAATTATAACATAGAAGTATTCCAAGGGGCAAAACCGTCAAACAACAATAATAATTGCAGCAGCTGGTCTCATATTCATCATCAACAAATGAATATTTCTGCTTCATCTTCAAAGTCATGTATCACCACTGCCAACAATCTCCTGGATTTCTCTCCTCCATCTGAGGTACATATATATATATATATACACACACTTTGTATCTATCTTTCTTTAACAACTAGGGTTTTGAGAAATAAATACAATATAGTAATTGTAAATTAATTACTTATTAGTGTAATAATTACAGATCTGAAAAGGGTTTTCAATTTTGATGATTTCCACAGCCAAGAATATAATTCCTTAATCATGTTTATTAATTATTTTAATTTAATTTGTTTTTTTTTTAAATAGTGCAATAGCACTGCAACAACAGGTGGGGCAGCAGCCAAGAAAGCTAGAATTACTCAACCAGCTGCTTCTTCAGCACACTCTACCATCAAGGTATAATTAATTAATTAATTAATTAATTAAATTAGGCAATTGCATCATGAGTACTGAATAATGATATTCATGAAAAAATATATATATAATTAATTAATTAAAACTTTTTTTGTCTTTCTTGATTGTCGTGATATTATTACATGCTGATTCTTTTGGCCATCTCTTATCTAGTCCACACACTATAAACTAGAAAGAGAAACCATGATTGATGACTATGTCTGAATCTGCTTGTTTTTCTTTTTCTTTTTTTTCCTTTTTAATTAAATGGGGTAAATAAAAATTTATCTTCTTTAATCAGTTTTAATTTTAATATGTTGGACTAAGAAATTAATTAAAACAGGTGAGGAAAGAAAAACTTGGTGACAGAGTTACTGCCCTCCACCAGCTAGTTTCTCCATTTGGCAAGGTAATTTATTTCATTTAATTAATTAATTAATTATGAAGGAAATTCTTGATCTATTTTTAAAAAATAAAAAATTAGTTCATCTTTTAGGGTTTGCTTTTTGAGTATTGTTTAGTTACATAAAAAAGAATATAAGTACATGACACACACACATGCACACACCTGCAAGATGTGTATTAATTATATATTCTTGATATTGTTTAAATAAAATATGTTTTATTTTAATTTTTTTTATTTTTATTTATTTGCTTGAATTAATTAATTGCAGACTGACACAGCTTCTGTACTGTTGGAAGCTATTGGATACATTAAATTCCTACAGAACCAAATTGAGGTGACTTTTCTTTCTTCGAGAGAACGCATTATATTGCATGCATGCATGCATGCATCATCAAATTAAACACCTTCAATTATTTCAGTGATGAGTCTTGTCCCTACTACATTCTTCATATTTATATATATATATATATATATATATATATATATATATATATACATGTATATAATATGTATGTATATCCCCTTGAACTTTGCAGGCCCTAAGCCAACCCTACTTGGGCAGTGGTTCTTCAAGAAACTTGGTCAGCCAACAACACCCCCCTGTAAGAAAATTAAACCTGAATAAAGCACTTTTTTTTGTGTGTCTATATGTGTATACATGTGTGTGTGTGTGTGTTATATGCATGTGGATATCTGAGGAAAAAGTACAATGAAACATGTGCAAAGTGAACATATAACTATCAATAATTGGCAATAAAATCTTGTTTTTCTGAATTGCAGGTTGTTCAAGGAGAGAGAAATTGTTTATTTCCAGAGGACCCTGGCCAGGTATATATATATATATATATGCTTCTTTATTAAATTAAAAATAAAATTAAATAAATTAAGAAAAAAAACAACATTATATCTATGTAAGACATTTTTATTGTAATTAATGTTGTTTTGATAATCTTGTTTGTGTAGCTGCTGAATGAAAACTGCATCAAGAGGAAAGAAATATCTGATCTGGTAATTAATAAAATTAAATATTTGTATTAAATTACATGCATTGGGTTTCTTGTTATAATATTTATGTTTTTTTTATTTAATTATATTAATAATAATTAGGAATGCAACGATGAAGAACCGAAGCAAGATTTGAAGAGTAGGGGGCTGTGCTTGGTTCCGATATCTTGCACGATCGACGTCGGGAGCGAGATTAACGGAGCTGATTATTGGGCTTCAGCTTTCGGTGCTGCAAATTTCCGATAAAAATTAAAATTAAATATTGAAATTAGCGGACGACTAATTATTTTTCAGATGAAAAAAAAAAGATGACATAATATCATGAGCAGTCAATCTGCTAAAAAAATTCCAAGGCTGACTGCTTCTGATGCTATGCATTTTTATCAGGTTTATTATTATATGTTGTTGAATCAATTTCGCACGTTAATTCGAATTCGTGAGTTGTAATGATGTTTATTTTGTTTTAAGAAATTGGATTATTGCGCTGATTTTCGTTATTATTGTTAATATTTGCACTTTGAGTGTAGATTAATTAATTAAGACAAAACAAAAAAATATTTCTTACAAATTAAATATAAATATTCACGTAGTAATTTCGTACACTAAATTAAATTACTTATTATACTTATTTATGTAACATATATATTTATTGGTGTACATAAATATAGAGTGGTGTTATTTCCACCTCCAAAGTATCTCAATTTACCACCAAAGATTATAAAATGTCATAAATACCCCTTCATTTATAATTCACCGCCCTTCATTATATTCACTTAATATTCATGTGTTCTAGGTTATTTCTATGTTATTTTATTTTTTTATTTTTTTAATTTTTTTAATTTTAATTTTTATTTTTTTGCAATGAAATATTTATTACAAAATATATAAATTTCCATATTTTTTTTATTAATTCAAGTCATTACAAGGGGGAGTAAATTTCCATATCAGATACTACAAATTATGTAAAAACATTTAGGAAACGAAATTATATTAAGCCAAACTTGCCAATTCTAGAGGAAGTTCAGGACCTTTCATACAAGCAAATCCTAATTTATTTCTTAATAAACGTGAATTTCTAGTCTTTTTGATCTCCAAAAAATGTTTTTCTCTGACGAAAGTATTAATCACTTCGGGTTGAGGGGGTGAGAATTCTATTGTGGGGGGGGGGGGGGGGGCGGTATTTTTATTTATTTTAAAATTAGTTTAGTGGTAGATGGTTTATAAATTTGTACAAAATATAAGTACAAGAAGAAGAAATGGATAAAATGGGAAATATATTTAATTTGGTGGTTAAATAAGATATTTTGAGGGTGGAAATAGCACGTCTCTAAATATAAAATATTTTTACAGTATATAATTATACAGATTGATTATACAAAGTGTTGTCAACTTACAGAGCAAAACCAGAAACCGTTGTAAAATAGTAGTTATTAAACGGCAGCATCAGCTGCAGAGGTCACCGATTTTAGGACGAAAACAGAATCTCCCAATTTGATGCTCTTTCTTTTCCCTTCTTCGCCATTAATGGAGTCCAAACACACCATGTTCTGTCCAAAATATACCTGAAAATCGAAACACCGTTAATATCTTCACTAATCATCTGCTAAAAGGAGACAAAAATATTAACATACGAACGAACGATCTTTTGTTATTACCTTCCCTTTCTGGTGTTTCTTGTTAGGGCGTAAGACTTTGTCCGAACGGAAGGTTATCAGTGTATCGGTAGGCTCGGAACCAGCTTCGGTAGTTTCTTGATTAATTGTAGGCACCTGGTATTAATTATGATCAGTTAACAATTTCACGAGGCTATTTTTCAATCAGGGATTTTCTGGGGGAAAAAAAAAGTGCCAAGGAAAATGAATAAGTGCACGCTTACCTTGCAACGAGAGCATAATTTTACACCTTGGAATGTTGATTGACTTATCTTGATCTCTGTCCACAAATCTTCGATAAATGGTTCACATCCCTCGACCAAGATACTGTAAAATTAGATCGATAAAATCAGATTTTTTTTCTTAACTTTGTTCGATCCAAAAAAAAAATAGATTGAGATATGAAATAGACGATAACTTGGGTCTGAAACGGTTGACTGGTATAGGCTCCTTGAGAAGTGTGTTTAAGGAATCCAATGATCCCTGCGAAATTTATGTTTTTGATGGATCGAAAATCAAAAATAAAAAAAATTCGAATAAGAATTGGAGGAATTTGAAAATTTTCTAATTTTTAGTCACCTCTAAATATAAAATACATAATAATATTGATATTATACATTTATAAGTATACTTTTCGGAAAAAAACATCGGAATTTTCAGATATTAAAATCGGATTGGAATATGGAATCTTATATATATTCCAATTCTGATCCAAAAAAAATCAGAAAAAATCGGAAATCAGATTTTCGGATGTTCCAAAATAAGAAAAAAATGGATTGTAATGAGCGGAAATCGGAAATTCCGTTCCAATTTCCACCCCTATTTTTTATCGATAATCTAAGGTAGTACCGAAAACAAATACTAATCATTTGTCAAAATTTCAACAGAGACCTGAGATAGCAAGAGGAATGGGTACCCATCGGAAAACATAACTTTGTATCCATGCACGTATTCAGGGTCCACAATCCTTACCTCCGATGCTGCATAATAACCGAATGAAAATCACATACCGTTCAACACCAATATAAATTATTAAAAAAACCCGAAAAAACTAGAGAATAATTACGAACTATACCATCATGAAATCGAACAAGCCTACTTGGCTTTCCCAGATAATTAGAGAACCACTGTGCGGCATGATCTCCTTCATCGACTGCAGATCCAGTCCATTCCCATACCGAGACACCGTTCACTATTTCAACTGATTTTGCCAATGGAATCTTCAGTGCATCCATACCGGGAGCAGTTATCACTAAAGACGAACACCGAAAAATTATCAGACTTGCGTTTATTTAGTGATCATACATACAAGAATATAGAAACGATCATCACTGCATTTTGTAATTCCTTTCTTACAATTTCGTTAAAAAACGAAATAAACGTTTTGTACGCACATAATTATCTGTAAACAGTGTATGATAATGTAAAGCAAATTCATCTCAAGAAAGTATGTGGAGATAAAATTCTCATTTCTACAATGCCTAATCAATAAACAGAGAAATGTCGGTAGCCTGTAATTTCAACAATAAAATATAGCTTCCCCAATTAGGCACTAATTAACCAAATTAAACCAAAATTAAAAAAAAAATTGGGGATAAAGTAAACCTAAATAGGAGTGATGATTTGGTTCCCAATCGAGAGAAAATGCTTCAATTGGCAGTTCAACTGCAACGAGAGCAAGCTTGGGTTCGACTCTCTGAGTATATGCCCTGCCTTTCGAATTCACGATTAGCCATTCTCGATCATAGCGAAATCCTTCACATATATCCGTATTAAGATTAAGAAGAGGTTCCGAAGAAGAAAAAATTAAGAGAGGGTAAAAATTGATCGGTACCGGTGGAAGAAATTGGGGCTTGAGGAAGAGAAATTCCGCGGCACGATTTGATTGGATAGACGAATATTGACTTCACCGTAGCTGCAGAAACTCCGGCGGCGGCATCCATCGCTCCGGCTCCTCTCTCTCTCTCGTAGTTAGCTCCTCTGCTAATATGTAAACATCCCCAGTATTTAACAGTAGGACCTTTTTAAACAGAAAATAAATAATAATAATAATAACAACTAATTAGTATTATTATTATTACGATTTTATTAATAATAATAACTAATTAATATTTAATAATAAATAAAAAAAACAAAAACGAAAAAAAAAAAAAAAAAAAAGAACAGAGGACTTTCTCCAGTTTCGACATTTGTTTTAAATTTTTTTAGTCATTTTTTTATTCTTTAATAATTTTGTTTTGGCACAATTGACATTCAATGATTCAAATCAATGTTTTAAAACCGGACCAGATATTGACTCTGACATACAATTAGGTCAAGGTTACGTTGACCCGGGGTTTTTCATTTTTTTTTTCTTCATAATCATGATATTTAATTTATATATTATAAAACATAATTTATTTCGCATCATAATTCATTATTCTCCTCCAATTGAAATGTAAGTCAAGGCTATATTCGTTTTAGACAAACAACATATCGACACGCATATCACAAAAAATGACTTCAAGTATTACATGAACTATAATTAAATTTCTAATTTCAATTTTGTTGATTTTTTTTTTTTTTTCAACTAGGCAAAAATAAAAGTGTGTTTTAGCCATTTTATTTGTTTTTATAATATTTTTTAATAATAAAAGGCACAATTTTTAGCAAAAGAATCTGAATATCAGCTGGACTCCAATTTTACTGTTCGATCACCAAAACCAGACTAGACAAGACAACAATTTGCGGTTTAATCAGTTTGATGTGCCGGTCCGGATTTTAAATCACTGATTCAAACGATTTGTTCCTAATTAATTTGATGAGCTCTAAATTTGTTTTAAAGATATTGATGTTCATTAGACTTTTGGAAGTGGTAAATAATTAATAATTATGATGTTCATTAATCATTTAATCATAATAATTTTGGATAGTGTTGTTCTACAATTTTGGACGTACTGTAAATTGGGCGAAGGCCGGCCGGCGAGGGCGGCAAACAAGGGCAGTATTGTAAATATCTAAACCAGGTCCGGCCCCAAATATTGAATCCACGTGTCAACATAAACTATATATATAATACATATATTATAATATTATAAATAAAATACTCAAAAATTAAACAATTGTATTAATATGGGAATATAGGAACGAAATAATTTGCATCTCAATTCCCACCAACAAAGAAAAAGAAAAAGAAAAAAGACAAAAAGAACCACCACCGGCCACCGCGGACGCCATGTCCGCCGCCGCCGGCACCACCACGACGTCCGACGAAATCCTCCACCACACCTCCGCCTTCCTATCGGAAATCCTATCCCAGCCGGACCTCCGCCGCCGTCTCTCCACCACCTTCCTCCAAAGACTCCCCACAAACCTCGTCAAGCCCCTAAGCTTCGCCTCCCAAACCCTAGAAACCGCCATCTCCGCCGCCGCCGCCACCAGCCCCTCCGTCCGATCATCCTCCCTCCGCCTCGCCGAAAAAATCCTCCTCTCCGATAACATTAACAACCCAGACAGCAACCCCTTCTCCTCGTTCCTCCTATCCCTCGTCCACCACCTCCGCCGCCGCCCCGTCGACGCCGCCGTCAGCCTCCTCGACATCTTCCGGTCCGACCCATCATTTTCCCGCCAAGAAATCGCGCCGTTTCTCTTCCAGGAACTATTCCTCGTCCATTTCTCTCCGATCACCGAACGGTACAACGAGCAGAGATCCGAGATCCTGTCGTCCTCCTCCATACCGAACTCCGGCTACGACAGCGACCACGACTACGACGAGTCGATAACGCCGTCGACGACGACGCTGCTGTCGAAAATGAGCGGCGCTCAGGCCTCGTCGCTCAAGGGTTTGGAGAGGGAGTACGAGGTTCTAATGGAGGAGAACTGCAGGATATTCGTCGACTATTTTAAGGATGTTCTGCTCAGAAACAACGACGATCAAATGATTGCTCCGCCGACAATTATACTGCGTGCCGGCGCCGGTGATGATAATAATAAGCTTGTTTACAGTGATGACGTGGCGATCAAGATTAACGGCCATGAATTTCGATCCACAAACAGACGGTATAATGTAATATTTGATTTTCTTCAAATTCTATGCTTTTTTTTTTTACCTCCGTAAATTACGAAAAAACCCCTTTAACTTAAGCTAAATGACAACAAAAACACCACCTATCTGTAATAACAAAAATCTCCATCTAATTAACTAACTGTTGATCGAGTTAACAGAAAATGTATATTATACCTTCTGTTAACTTACCTCCCTGAATTGTATGTTGAACCAATTATACCTTTTTTAAGATAAATATCTTCCTATTTATTTTCAATAGTAATAAAAAATATTTTCACTTTGATTCTTATGATATTATATTTTATATTTTACTTATTTTTAGAATAAATATCAATTAGATGAAAAATATTGTTAGAGAGGTCAATACAAGTAAAACTTAAACCAAAACGAGTATAAATTATAAATACTATAGTATTTTTTTATTATTAAATTGAAAATATTTAAGTTTGTAAAAGAATAAAAGAGGGAAACTTTTCTTTAAAAAAGTGGTAGAAATGGTATAACATGTAATCTAGGGGGATAGGTGACGAATTTTATAGTATAGGGGAGGTATGTGAAATTACCTTGTTTTGACTATTGTATTAATTAATTATTTAAAGTATTAGGTAGAATTTATAAATTGGGAAATTACAGCTTTCGCCCATCAAGTTTGCATAAATTTCATATTTGGTCTTACATGTTCAAACAAATACATTTGGTCCCTCATATTTTAATAATTTAATACTTTTGGTCATTTTCGTCGATTTACCGTTAGTTCGTTATTTAAGGCAGTGATGGGCACACTCTTGATTCCGTTAGTTTTAACGGAAAATTGACGAAAATGACTAAAAGTGTTGAAATTTTGAAACATGAGGGACCAAATATGTTTTTTATGAATATAAGGGACCAAATGTGAAATTGGTGCAGACTTGAGGGGCAAAAATTGTATTTTCCCATTTATAAATTGTGTAATATTCTAGGGCAAATTGCAGTTTGCCCCCTCAAAAAATGCCAGTTTTGCACTTTCCCCCCTCAAAATAGAAAAATGAGACTATCCCCCTTAAAAATATATAACTTGGTGCACTTTGCCCCAAATGTGTATTCCCGGTTTATTTCTCACCGAATGAATTGTTTATATGTCATTTTACATCTTTCTCTTGAGAATCCTCCTTTCAGAGTTAAGTAGGGTTCCCAAATTAAAAAAATTATCTTCCCAAATTGATGATATTCGCTTCCAAGTTAGACGAAATTTTCTTCCAAATTCAACAAAATTTGTTCTTTGTTCTTCTTAATCATTGTAATGTAGGGTGAAAAAAGATTAAATGACATTTAAAGCCTTAAAAGATGAAATTGCGCTTCCAACTTACTCAAATCCGACAAGAAATAGCTCGAAAATACACATTTGGGGCAAAGTGCACCGAGTTATATATTTTTAAGGGGGAGAGTCTCATTTTTCTATTTTGAGGGGGGAAAGTGCAAAACCAACATTTTTTGAGGGGGCGAAGTGCAATTTGCCCAATATTCTATTTCCCTTGCTGACGTGTCATTTGGCCATACTCCATGGCAGCAGTCTTCCTTCTTCTTCTTCTTTTTTATTATTTTTATTATTTTTATTTTTGATTTTTTTTTAATATTGCTTTTTAAAAAATCATTTGTGTCACACTCTCCCTCCTGCTGAAAGAATCCAGCTTTGACAATGTCAATTATTTGAAAAAACTATGACGCAGTTTTTGTCAAGAACATGGAAAAATAGAAGCAGCAAATTCTGAATAATTTACTGCCAATTTTTTTTTAATATTTTTCTATTCATCTTCTGTGCAGCCAATATGGGCTGAAGAAGGAGATAAACCATCAATTGAACTGAAAAAGACATCCTCAAAACAATCGAAGAAAACTACTCTATCATCAAACAATCCGACAGACTGTTCTTCTTCAGATTCCGAATCAGCCGATAATAAACAAAAGGTAAAAATCGATATCAACAATGAAAAAAATCAATACATACTTACAAAGATTTTTCCACACGTGTGTGTTTTAGGAAAAAATCAAGAAACCCACATTGTTCGAATCCAGACAACAACAACAACAAAACCCACCTCTTCTTCCCTCACAAGAATCGATCCGGTAAATCAAAATTAAAAAAAAAAAGAATGGTTTTATTTTTTATTTTTTTAATTTATTGAAGGGTTCTAAATTCCTAATTCATTTCTTGATGTATCAGTTCTTTCATGGAGGAACCTGAAATTAATATCTCCGGCGGCGCCGCCGCCGCCGCCGCCGCAAAAACCCCGTCACCGAAGGACTTCGTATGTCCGATCACCACACACATATTCGACGACCCTGTAACCCTAGAAACAGGGCAAACCTACGAGAGGAGAGCCATTCAAGAATGGCTCGACAGAGGGAACGCCACGTGTCCGATCACACGGCAGAAGCTTCACAGTATCCATCTACCGAAAACGAATTACGTGCTCAAACGCCTCATCGCCAGCTGGCTCGACAGGAACCCAGGCTGCTCCCCGCCTACTCCAATCGGCCAATCGAAGCGTGCAGTTTCGCCGAATAGCGTCATAAGCCAAGCCGCGGTTGACGGAGCCGTGACCGAGCTCAAGCTGGCGATAACCGATCTCTGCACGTCCGAAATCTTGAAGGAGGCCGAGATCGCCGTTCTCAAAATCGAGAGGCTATGGAAAGAATCGAACGTGGGCCCGGAAATTATGCAGGCCCTCCTTTCGAAGCCGCCCGTGGTTAACGGTTTTGTCGAGATGTTGTTCAATTCCGTGGATAAGCTTGTGCTGAGAGCAACTGTACTCGTCCTGACCGAGCTGGCGTCGAGGGACGACAGCGTCGTCCAGACGTTGACTAGGGTTGACTCGGATGTCGAATGTGTGGTCGAGCTTTTCAAGAAAGGTCTAACGGAGGCCGTGGTGTTGGTTCATCTATTGAAGCCTTCAGCTAAGATCCTCTTAGAAATGGAGTTGGTTGACTATCTTTTGGCAACGGTTACTAAAACAGAGGACAATGGCGTGGCGAAGATGTGCGTGGGGCCGAAAACGGCATCTCTGGTTCTGTTGGGGAATATTCTCCGGGGCTGCGACGAAGAAGCACGTGTGTCGGAGATTGTGAGGAGCGTTGTTTCGAGCGGGGCGATTGAGGGAGTTGTGGTGAGTTTGAAAGGCGGTGACGTGACGGAAAGGGTGGCGGCTGTGGGCGTGTTGCTGAGGTGTATTTTGGAGGATGGGAAGTGTCGGAATGTAATTGCTGAGAAATCGGAATTAGGGTTTCTGTTGGAGATGTTTGTTGGAGTGAATGATGTGCAGAAGTTTGAGATTGTTCGTTTTCTTTTCGAACTGGTTAAACTGAACAGGTTATTTTGCATTAGTGTTTTATTTTATTTATTTTTTTCGATTTTCGGAAGTAATTAATTTGGATGAATAATTATTGTGCAGGAGGAGTTTGAATGATCAAATCTTGCATGTGTTGAGAGATGAGGGCACTTTTAGTACAATGCACACTCTTTTGGTTTACCAACAAAACTCGGTTTTCGAACGGTCTCCGATTGTCGCTGGTCTACTTCTGCAGCTTGATCTTCTTGTACATCTCTCTCTCTCTCTCTCTCTCTCTGGTTTACTTCTGCAACTTGATCTTCTTGTACATCTCTCTTTGATCTCTCTCTGGGATCTCTCTCTCTGATCTCTCTCTTTGATCTCTCTCTTTGGTCTCTCTGTGATCTCTCTCTCTCTGATCTCTCTGATATCTCTCTCTCTCATGAACAATATTTTACAGGAAGAGCCAAGAAAGATGAGCATATACAGAGAAGAGGCGATCGATACACTTATCTCGTGTCTAAGAAACACTGAATCGCCATCTGCTCAAATAACTGCAGCAGAGACTATTTTGTCCTTACAGGGAAGATTCTCGTATTCAGGCAAATCTCTATCGAGAGCCATTCTTCTCAAACGAGCGGGCCTCGATAAAAACTACAAAGCCTTCATGCGAAAAGATCAACGCCGACGCAGCATATCCCTCGAATCTCAAGACAACATGGTAATTAATTTAGCTTATATTTGTGCTCTTATAATTTTGAAATAAATTTCGCAAAGAATTAAATTCTTGTCTGAATTGTGGTAATGTATAGGAAGACGAGAGAAATGCCGAAGAGTGGGAAAGAAAAGTTGCGTTTGTTCTCGTGAGCCACGAATTCGGACTAGTGTTTGAGGCGCTCGCGGAGGGACTGAAAAGTAAATACGAAGAGTTGCAATCGCTTTGCTTTATGACAGCTACTTGGCTTGTGTACATGCTCTCGATTCTGCCCGATACTGGGATTAGAGGAGCAGCACGCGTGTGCTTGCTCAAGCATTTCATCTCGATTTTTAAATCCGATAAAGACACCGAAAATCGAGCCCTCGCCATGCTGGCGTTGAACAGTTTTACTCGTATATATATATATATATATATATATATATATATATATATATATATATATATATATATATATATATATATATATATATATATATATATATATATATATATATATATATATATATATGTATGAATCTTTTTAATATAAAATGCGAATAATTGATCATATACCGAAAATTTTCAGAAGGATTTCAAGATTTAGGAGGTCACATGAAAGATATTATGAAAGGATTAAGGGAGCTTAAGAAATCGTCTACGATGGCATTTGAGATGCTGAAAGTTTTTTCGGCGGAGCATGATAATAGTGCTGTGAGTTTCTTCGATTTTTTTTTTATTTTTTTTATTTTTTAAGACAAGATATATATAATATACAGTTAAACCTCTATAAGTTAATACAGTCAGGATCAGAAAAATTCTATTAATTTAGTGAATTATCAAATTATCGAGTTAATAATTTACCACGTTTTCACTGAGTTGGGACCGCAAGAAACTATTAGTTAATCGAGATTATTAATTTATCGAGGTTCTACTGTATGTACAATTTTTTGGCTAATTAATATTCGTCGTGTTTTTGCAGGATATATGGAATCATCAAGAACTAAGTCAGGAAGATTGTAGTAGCAATGGAGAAGTTTTAACGGTTACTTGCTTTAAAGGCAAAATATTCTCCGGCCATTCGGACGGAACAATAAAGGTCTGGAAGAGCGAAAACTCCGAATTAAATCTTATCCAAGAAATACACGAACACACGAAACACGTTACGAGCTTGGCTGTCGTTCATTCGTCGGAGAAACTCTATAGTGGTTCACTCGATAAAACTGTGAGGGTACGATTATGATATATACACACATACACACACATCAATACATACATATTTGTATATATATATATATATATATATATATATATATATATATATATATATATATTTGGATTTTCGAGCTTCGTATGTTTATTTTGACAGGTATGGGCAATAACCGAGGAAGGAATATACTGCGAACAAGTTCAGGAAACGAAGGATCAAATAAATACCCTCGTAGTTGCTAATAGCATCGCATGCTATATTCCTCAAGGAGCTGGTGTTAAGGCAAGGAAATTAGACCCCTACCCCACCCCCCGGTTTTTTTTTTTTTTTTTTTAATTCTTGAAAATCGAAAAAAAAAACGTACAACGATGATTAACTAAGGTAATTAATTTCAGGTGCATTCGTGGAATGGATCGTCTAAAGTACTAAATCAACACAAGTACGCCAAATGTTTGGCTCTCGTACAAGGAAAACTCTACTGTGGATGCAACGATAATAGCATTCAGGTAAATGAAAACGATGTTTATTAATTATTAGGCTTCGATTTGATTAAGATTATTGTAATGATTAAAAACGAAAAAAAAAATATGTATTATTAATATTTCTTTGCTTTTTGCAGGAAATAGATTTGGCCACAGGAACACTTGGGAATATACAGAGTGGCTCGAAGAAATTAATCGGGAAAGTTTATCCTATTTACGCATTGCAAGTTTATGACGGATTAATTTACGGAGCCGGCCCTTCGTTCGATGGATCAAATGTTAAGGTAATCTTTTTTTTTTTTTTGGAAATTTGATATTAATACTCGAAAATTAATAAAATGGTGTGGTGTTATATAATTAGATATGGAGTACTTCAAACTATAGTATCGTGGGGTCGTTGGCTTCGACTTTGGATATACGGACTATGAGTGTAAGTTCGGAATTAATATACTTGGGGTGTAAAAGTGGGGTTATCGAAATTTGGTGCAAGAAAAAGCTTAGTAGAGTCGAAACGCTTCAAATTATCCCGACGAGTCGAATTCTTTGCATGGCTATTGATACGAACGAAGATTTTTTAGTTGTCGGGACTTCTGACGGTAGAATTCAGGTATTTTTATATTTTGTATTTAATTATTATAGAGTTAAAAGAATTGATTAAAAATTTAAATGAATTTATGTGACCTTACATGGATTTTACTGCAGACATGGGGTTTCAGCTGAAGGAGACTGCAATTGATCATGTTTTACATTTTTTGGGGGCTTGGAATAAATATATTAATTAATATAGGATATTCAAGAAATATGTATATATGTAGAAAAATGATTGATGCATTGTAATCTATGTAGTGCGAAAACTTCTATTTATTAACGTTTCCACGTTTTGGACACGTTTCGTGTCCGATACTCGAAGACACCTATCGAACACGTTATAAGCCATTTTGCAACTTCTTAAAAGTTAGAACGTGTTTGGAAACAAATTTCTAGATATTTTTGTTACTTCTCTAATTAATTACATAAGTTTTTGATCAGCAATAAATTGATAATTGATAATAATATTAATTTTGAATATATTTGTATAGAAATATAAAGAAAAAGATTATATATATATATATATATATATATATGGTTCGTACTTACTCTTTTCGATAGCATATTTATAAATATATCCTTATATTTCTAATATTTCTACTTTTCCCTCAAGTTTCTGTATCCCTAATTTTCGGATATGCTGTTTTCCCGTTTTCCTGTATCGTCGTTTCAATGTCCGCGCTATCTAGATTGCAACGAATTTCTACAGCCATTATTTACAATGAACTTACATATTTGTGGTGTAATAAAAACCAACAATTTTTTTTTATATCATGCAGGAATAGGTGAAAACGGACTTGCACATTTGAAAATTATATTGCATAAAGTAAGTTGTAAATTATTCGAGTTCGACTACGGATCGAATAAAAATTAGCACTTTTAGAAAATTACGATTTTTTCGAAAAAGAAAAATGAATTCGAATTCCGTTAAAAAAATACCAAAATCAAAATTTCGAAATTGGAATTTTTCGGGTCGGAGTCAGCGGATCATAGGATTTAGGCGGCTGGCCGGCTTCTTTTATATGGTAGGGTAGGAGTGCTAGAGCCGAGTCAAGGCCCTACAATAATGCATATTAAAATTGATGAATTTCAAACTGCCCCCTTAAGTTTAAATTTGTATCACTTCCACCCAGCATGAAATACAAATTTTTATATCCCATCTAAAAGTAATTCATTTGTTTTCTAATCTACTCTCTCTTTTCAATTTATTGAATTTTAATATTTTATTACAGTTAAACCTCTATAAATTAATACAATCGAAACTAGCAAAATATTAAATTATCGAACTAATAATTTAGTAGGTTTTTATCGTATCGGGACTAGAAGAAATATTATTTATCGAGTATTAATTTATTGATGATTTACTGCATTTTCACTTAACCAGACAATCCTTTAATTTCAAAGTAAATGTCCATTAAGTTATTCTACTCCTTTAACTTTACATCAACTTTAAATAATTCAGTGTACTTATTTCATTGACTTTAATTTCATTCTCAATTGTTTTATTATAAATTAATCTAAGAAAAAAAATGGTATAAAAAATCCAATTTGACCCAAAATTGTAGTGTTTATTAATTGGAGGACCAAAGGGCACACCTTCGTAGTTTAATGTGGCAAAGGTGACAAACTGTAGAACCTATAAGGGGCAAACTAAAAAAAAGTCGCTTCACCCGAAATTTCAATTATACCCCTACCCGGACGCCAAAAATTTTCTTAAATCCAGCTCGTGGGGAAACTTCACGTCCACTGTGCAAATAAAACCCCTGCCAAAAACTGTGGCACCGCTTAAACCGTAATCATTTTTCAACCACTTCAAAACAGACGGAAGAATCAATGGCTCCGATCGCAGTTGGTGACGTCATTCCCGAAGGAACCCTAGCTTATTTCGACGAACAGGATCAACTCCAGAGCGTCACACTTCACTCGCTCGCCGCCGGTAAGAAGGTCATCCTCTTCGCCGTTCCCGGCGCATTTACCCCCACCTGCAGGTAATTTTGTTACCTCCAGTCACCGACGAACGTTCGAATTTGTTGTTTTCATTTTTACGAATTTTTGGAGTTGTTGAATTTGTTAATTTTTTTTTTGTTTGTAATAGCATGAAGCACGTGCCTGGGTTCATTGAGAAGGCGGATGAGCTGAAATCGAAGGGTGTTGATGAGATCTTGTGCATCAGTGGTATGTTTCTGTTTTGTGTTGCTTTATTGATTGTTATTCTTATTGTGTTGGAAATGGTAGACAATATTATGAAATTTGAGAAACTTATTGCCGATTTCACTTTGTTTGATGTCGTATTGTTGTGTTTTTTAAGAGATTGTGATTTTGGAAGCACTGTGAAATTGGGTGTTTCGTATGTGATTCCTCTGTTTGGTATTATAACTTTGAAGCCGCGCTTTTGCTTTGTTGCATCATTAAACTCGCATTCAGCAACTCGCAATCCACTTTCGGTGTAGACATAATTTTGAGCGATTAGTTATTTGATGATATAATTGAAATCAGTTTTGGGATATCAATGTAATCATGATTTGTGTGCAAATGTTGCGTTTTCGAGAATCGCATTGTGCATGGGCTTTGTCCGTTCAAGATCAGCTTTATGTTGATATGTTATTCAGGAAAGAATTTGTTGTTCTTGTGTGGTGTAGTATCATATGAATTGATATAAGATTAACCAGTTTTAGGTTAACAACATTTCGATTGATCTTTTCTCCGGCGTTATTGGGCTGGTTGAGGACAGTATAGAATTAATTAATTAGGCTAGATTGACTCTGTAATGTTCCATTCCCTTGACCATTTCAGGATGACCGATGCCCCATTTGACTTATTTTGATAGACTATAATTTTTTTTGATTGCGAGAATTAGATATCTAACGCCTCGCTGTTGCCAAAGTCCTTTTTTCCCCGTTATGTTGATGGCCAAAGTCCTTTTTTCCCCGTTATGTTGATGTTTGATGTTGACTGTTTTCTTTACCGACGAACTAAATTGATATGATACGTAATTTCCATAGATTTTGTACTTTCATTATAGTTTATCCTTTTTCCAGTGGAATCTACTTGGAGCACTTTGGATTTATTTCACAAAGATGCTAAACTACGGTTACAAAAAATATGCCATGCTTTAAGTTGAAGGTTTCTTCACATCTTGCAAACATCCTGAAATAGTGAATGGCTGAATCTGGCTCCATACTAACATGTGCAAGTTGTTAATCAAATTTTAAAGTGGAGTTAAGTTGTTCTATTACGGCAATTTTTTTTTTCAAATGAAAAGGTTTCAGAAGAAACTAATATTGGTTTGTTTTGTTGCAAAATTTCTTATCTTCCTAAAACGTAAAATGGTTTAAGGAAGTTTCCCTTTAGGAAACTTTGGGGGGCTGGGGGGGGGGAGCAAATTCGATCCCTTTTTAATATGCTGATTGCATTAAGGGGCCTGGACATGGACGATTTTATATTCTTGTAAGAGTTGACTCACTGTGTATTTCGTTCTTACAATGCAGTAAACGACCCGTTTGTGATGAAGGCATGGGCAAAGACTTACCCTGAGAATAAGCATGTGAAGTTCTTGGCTGATGGCTCTGCAACTTACACTAAAGCACTTGGGCTTGAACTTGACCTCACCGAAAAGGGACTTGGCCTTCGTTCTAGAAGGTTCGCTCTGTTGGTTGAAGACCTCAAAGTCAAAGCTGCCAACATTGAATCCGGTGGGGAATTCACTGTGTCCAGCGCTGATGATATTCTCAAGGCTCTCTAAATGCACCGGTGAATGTCTGGTTTTATCATTTTATGCTATTCTGTCTTTCTCTAGTAGATGTTAAAACCGGAAATACGAGAAATAAACGAGGAAAGGGGTTTTGGTGTATTTCCTCCGCCGTTACTGATGTAATCTGTAATGCACTGAATATCACAATAACTGTTGTTGCTTTGTTAGATTGTTGATTATTTTGCAGATTTATTTTCTGAACATACTCTGATTTCATAGAAATTGACGAGTCTTAAACGCAAAGACAATTCCCCGTGCAACCGTATACTTGTATTATTTAACTTACGAAGCTTATCTAGTATTTTTAGGGCATAAACATGAACATGCCATTGATTCCACATATTGAGTAACATATCTAATTTTTTTGAAAATGAGTAGGTTGAAAGAAAGGAGTATAATTGCAGCTAGTATGCAGGATTACTATTAATGAATTACTTAATATAATAATATTAACATATCTCCAATTAATGCAGGAAGTATGCAGAAAACCTGAAAAGAAACAAGACTTTAATTAGACATAGGAGTAAATAAATACCTGCCAAAACAAATTGAATAGTGGTTGAAATTTTGAATGTGGCTTTGGGACCGTTTGGAAACTGGTTCACACAATAAAAGCTTTCTTCATTTTCAAAAAAAGAATAAAAAAAAAAACAAATCCGTTGGGATTTTGAAACTTGGTGAGAGGGATGAAAAGTGACAGTAAGACCCTTTTGTTTGACTCTCTCTCTCTCTCTCTCTCTCTATTCTCTCTCACACACAAGACACACACACAGAGACACATGCGCAGTCTGTGTCTGTAGCTTTGTTTTTTAATGTCGTTCTTGAAACTGCAAAAATATTAAGTTTGCAATAGGGGCCTCTCTTTCAATATCCCAACCCCTTTTCTTCCTTGTTCTCTTCTTCCTTCATTTCAGCCATTTTTTGCTCTCAAGACTCCTTTTTCTTCAATTACTTTTTCCTAGCTTTATTAGTGCAACAGCCAACAGTGCTGCAGCAAAAGGGCTTTCACAGTAATACCTTGGAAATTTAAGGGGCAAAAAAGGAAAAAAAGGAAAGATGAGTGCTTCAAAGTTCATCAAATGTGTGACAGTTGGAGATGGAGCTGTTGGCAAAACCTGCATGCTCATCTGCTACACCAGCAACAAGTTTCCTACTGTAAGTCCCCTACTCTCTTTTATTTGACCTAATTTTTATTCTCATTTTCTTCTCATATTAAAACTAGCATCTTTTTTTTTTTCTTCTTCTAATAAAATCATATTAATTTGGCAATAAAGCTTCTAATTTTGTGGGATTTTCAAGAATTGGATTTTCTTGAAATTTAGGGTTTTCTTTTGCTCTCTCTCTCTCTCTCTCTCTCATGATGTGGGCTTCATCTGTGGGTGCAGGATTACATCCCCACAGTGTTTGACAATTTCAGTGCTAATGTGTCTGTAGATGGCAACATTGTCAACTTAGGACTGTGGGATACTGCTGGTATGAATATTACATATTTATTCTTAAATATCCCTCTCTCTCTCTCTCACACAAACACACACACACACACTGCTACTAATTTTAATTTATTGAGTTACTAATTTCATTTGCATCTCTTATTTCAAAAAGGTCAAGAAGACTACAGCAGGTTGAGGCCACTGAGTTACAGAGGTGCAGACATATTTGTTTTGGCTTTCTCTTTAATCAGTAGAGCTAGCTATGAAAATGTCCTCAAGAAGGTAACTTTTTTAATTTTTTATTTTAATTTTATTAAATGAAAAAAAATCTTATGATGATCAAAACCATTTGTTTTGAAGTGAAAAAAAATTCAATCTTTTGCATCTAGTGTACTTTTATTCACGTTGCCCTAAGAAAATTATCAGCATTCTGATTGGATTATTGTTTCAGTGGATGCCGGAACTTCGCCGGTTTGCGCCCGACGTTCCAATTGTGCTCGTCGGGACTAAATTAGGTATTTGCTTGAAGCAATCTAAATCAAATTTTGATTCAAGAAAAAACATTTTTTTTAATATTTTGTTGTTTTGTCCGTTACAGATCTTCGAGAAGACAGAGGATACCTAGCTGATCATATGGGATCTAATATCATCACAACTGCCCAAGTGTGTCTCGTTGTTTTTTATTTTCGAAATATATTCAAATTTGATTCATTTTAGCAATTTATTTGACACTAAACTTATAGGGGGAGGAGTTGAGGAAACAAATTGGTGCAGCAGCTTACATAGAATGCAGCTCAAAGACTCAGCAGGTGGGTCCCACATTGTACAAATTCCGTTCGATACGATCATATTTAAATCCTCTTTTTTGTCAAGAAATCTAATATTATCGAACTTTTGTTATCCAGAATGTGAAAGCTGTTTTCGATACTGCAATTAAGGTTGTTCTTCAACCTCCTCGGAGAAAGGAAATGGCGAAGAAGAAACGACATAGAAGTAGTGGCTGCTCCATTGTGTGAGTCTTGATGAATAAATATTCGATTTCGTATAAGAAATAATTGATCTTTCCTATAATCGATTATCTGATTTATGTCGGGTGTTTTTTTTGTTTTTTTTTTCCTTTTTGGTTTCTTTAGCAGGGGAGTCGTCTGCTGCGGTTGTGTTGCTTAGCGAATTTCGGTTTTTTGATTTAATTTTAGTAGCTATTATAAATTAAGCTGGACTTACTTCTTGTTACTGTCTTTAAAATTGTGTATGTATCTATGTATGTATTTGTGTGTTGTTTTGATGCTGCTAACCAATGGAATTGTTCGGTTAGCCTCTCGCTTCGAAACTTTATTACCGTTATCTAAATGATGTATTTCGGGTTTAAATTATTTATTGCACATTTTTTTCCCCTTAATATTTCACTTTTTAGTTACTAATTACACCAAGTTAAGATATTATGTACATGTTTTATTTATTTTAGGAAATGTTTTATATGTATAGTTGTATACTATGATACAACGGGTAGATTTTTACTACACAAACGCGCACCCACATTGGCGTGTAGATCAACAGTAAAAATTCAGCATATGTATTGAGACGTATAAAACATTGGGCATGCTATAAATTTACAAGATATGGACATACTACAATATTTGCCATCCAATTTTAAGATTACGATTTTACATCCCATTTCGATTTTACTTAAAAATCTCGAGTTTGACTTGTCTTAATCGACTTACGATTACACTGTTCAGTATTGACTAAAATTTTGACATGCTATAATAAATTTTACAAGATATGAAAAATCCTACGATATTTACAATCCAAATTCAAGCTTAAGATTTTACTTAAAATGTCGATTTTGACTATCTTGACTTGTGATTGTACAATTCATTATTTTACAACAATCCCAAATTGGTTCAACAATAGTTTTGGCAAAAAAAATTATTATTGCAATAAAATAACGTAACTTTCCATCTATAAGTATAAAGAAAAAAATATATATACATGAGACAAAGAAATTCAAAGAGCAAATTCAAAATCATTTGTCAGTCATGAAACAAGTTTCATTTTTAGTGGTACTTGCCATGATTTTGGTTTTGGGCATGAACGGTACATTCTCTCTATTATTTCTTTTTTCAATATATATATATATATATATATATATATATATATATATATATATATATATATATATATATATATATATATTTATTCTTAGTTGTTCTAAAAAATTAAATACTAGTGTTATAAAGAGAAAAGAAAAAAGTTGAAGATCTCTGTATTTTTTTTTCTTAATTTTATTTTTGGTGTGCAGAAAATGCAGGGGAATGTGCGGTGAGTATAGGTAGAAGAAATAACGAGCCAATACCATCGTACTGCACTAACGATAAAGATTGCGAGAGAATGTGTGAATTCTTCTCACACAAGCTCAGCTGTGGTTGTCAACCTAACAAAACATGCTGTTGTCATCCAAGACCTCCTAGTTGAATTTTTTTTTCAGATGTTATTACTAAATAATATATGAGGTTTTAAACTAATAAAAGTTAGGGTTATTGATATTTTTTTTTAACAAATTCGACAAATATATACGGTAACAAGGAACATTAAAATTTTATAAGTCTTTCAATAGGAAGCTGGTTTAGGTATTTATTCAACTAATTGAAAATCACGACGACCTCAAATTCAATGCATGTATATATGTATGTATGTATAGGCTAAGGCAGAAAAGAGTACTTTAGAGAAACTGATGATATATTCATACTCAGCATGCTGTTGGTCTAATCATCAATGCAAATACTCTGTCTCCCGGTCCACTCCTCGCCGGGATTCAACGTCACCGGATCAACAACTGCAGCGGGCCCCACACACAGCATTTCCCTATACTCTCCATCTCCCAAATCACTTATTGTCTTTGCCTTCTCAGTCCATGGATTCCACATCACTATCAAAAAATGAAAATTAAATTAAATACATACGCACGTTTTCATTAAAATAACTAACTCGTTGCATGCATAGAAAAATACGATACTATAAAGTATATATAAACCTTACCAATATCAGGAAGACTAGCACATCCCCGAACGGAATAATTTTGCCCTACTGTAGTTTTTATGGCAACGATCCTATTCATTCCACCTCGTGCGTTGATATACACCTTGTCCACCTACACGAAATGCAAGATTAATTAAGATAACGCAAACATAATAAATTCAGGTATAATCAGCATTTTTATATTATTTATCTATCTATCTATCTATCTATCTATCTATCTATCTATCTATCTATATATGTATATACTCACTTCAGAGTCAATGGAGATTGAAGCATCCTGTTCAGTAAATCGCTCGTTCTTCTGATAGTCCAGATAATCCAGTTTATCCAATCCTTGAATCCGAATGTTACTGAACAAGCGAAGATATATACATATATTAATATATGTTCAGATTAATTAGAACTATTGCAATAATAAAGGAAATTAAACAGCATCAATCTCATTAGTAATACCTGATATCTGAGGCAGGTAAGTAGTTTTGATAGCAAAATTGGAATGTAAAAGGCTTATCATCGGTGTTTCTTATACGAGCTGCCATCAACAGATATCCGACAACTGCCGCCTGATATCTCATACGGAACTCAAATCTGCGAAGAAAACAAAAGATATATTGCGATTTAATACAATTTAGAATGCTCTACCAGCAAAGGAGAAAAAAAAAAAAAAAAGAGAGAGAGAGAGGGAGAAAACAATCGTCTACTTATGAGGCCAGTTTAACAAGTCGGCGGGACTTGGCTCCAGAATCAAATTAAGAGATGCCTTGTCGTTGTGTTTAGGGACGGATGTGTCAATACGCCAAGCCGCCTTAAATGGGTTCTCGATATTTCCATTGTTCAAAAACTGATATGAATTAGAACATCAATTAATTTACTTTGAAAATAATCAAATCGAATAAAACGCAAGGGAAATAGAATGGAGTTGAGAGGAAAAGTATATTTGCAAGGATGAGTAAGCAGTATACCTTCGGAAAGCAAATTGGGATGCCTCCGCGAATTGGTTGATCGTGTTTCCAATTAATCTGAAAAATATTTTTGTTAAGATCAAATTACTAAAGAATACAACACCATTGATGATTCGATTGAAAGTAAATTATCGAATATCCAAGTTAAGATACTCGATTCAACAACGACAGAAAATCCAACAACACTTCAATTAACATACATGCGAGGATGCTAAAGAAACACAGAGGAATGGTAATCATAAATTCGGAAAATATATACAGATGCTGCTTATTCTGGTAATGGCAATCATAAATTCGGGAATTAAACGTGGATCATAAATAACAAAACCATCAGACGAACATCTCGCAATTATACGTTTTTTCACGGCCTCACAAGATTACTGCTGTATTAAATCCAGATACCAATTGATAGTGAAGTAATGATATTACATTATAAGCACCAACATAAAATTCAGATTAATCTCAGGTGATCAATTAACACTGTATTTAATTGAACAATACCTTTTCACTGACAAAAAGCAGCTCTTCCCCCCCTTTAGTCTTCCATGATATTACTTGACCAGTAGAAATCAGAATCTACAAACGGAACATTTATTCATCAAATCACGCATCTCATATCATAACCAACTCGGAAATGCATAATCGCGCAGTTTCCATATAATTAATTACGCCCTAATTAAAAACGATCGAAATAAAAAATCCAGTAAACAAATATATATATTCCGTCGGAGCAAATTGAAACGGAGAAAATTGAACTGAATTGAAACTGAAAATACCTCGGCCGATTGCAAACAATCTTCATCAGTGATAACGACCGATTGATAAACGCTCATATCACTGATTGTGCAGAATTTCCGCACGCGCCTCTCGTCTTTGATCGGGAACTTACGCTCGTGTGGCTTTAGCGGCGAAGACATGTTCACTACCAGTTGCAAAAATCACACAGAATGTGTGTGTTTGTGCGTGTGTGTGTTCGTGCGTGTTTAATTGACGGATGAAGAACTCTGATTTCTGTATCTGCTGCAGAGAAAATTGAAAATGGTGTTTCCCCCCCTTTTTCCCCCCCTCTTCACACTTTTTTTGAGGAGAGAGAGAGAGAGAGAGTGGCGGTTTCAGTTTATATAACGGAATGTAGTTTCCGTACTGAGATGGATAGATACAAAACTTCCGGGTCGAATTTACAATAATACCCCCGCAATCTCTTTTTTTTTTTTTTTTTTTAATTGTAAATTTATTTCTTTTTTAATATTTTTGTGACCTCAATTTTTATAACATTTGCATATATTTTTATGGAATGTTCTAGATTATGTAGAATATTCTCCAGTGTGTATCCATTTTACCCTCTTCAGCTCCACATTTTGAAATAACATATGATCATGAGATGTGTCTCTTGACTTGTAAATATTCAATTGTAGTTCATCCGAAACTGCATTTTTGCATAAAACGAATACAAACTAGAAGATTCTGTTAAAATTAACACGATAAGAATGGACGTATGAGAAGATTTATAGTTGATGAGTTAGTTGCAATTACTCAAATATGAGACTTTTATTTCGTAATTTAATGTTATTTCATCGATGGCCATGATTAACACAATGTATAAATGATAATATACATCGACTAGATTTTATATTTAATGGAGTGTATATGGAATAAGATACTCTTTACCCAATCATACACATATAAATGTGTGTATTTTAGTATGTTGATGAATAATAGTTATTAATATTTAATGTTCTTTTCTTGATATAACATTTGAAAATGTGATTTGCAATTATAAATTCAAATTACTATTCACAATTTTCCTAGAATATTTCAATTAATTAACTTCCCATCTTGTAAATGAAATCAATAATGCACTATGCACATATATATAACTTTTTTTTTTCTATAGAAAATCAAACAACAAATCAAAAATCAATTGCAGATCATGGGACAAGCTTCATTGGTAGTGGCATTCATCATGGTTTTGGCTGTGTGCGTAAATGGTGCACATCTTCTATAGAAATTCGAATTTTATTCAAGACGACGAAAAATATAACTATTTCGATATCTCAATTCCTGTACTTTAGGATATTTTTTTTCTTTTCAAGATTGATCTCACGATGATTATTTATTTGTTTTATTTTCTTGTGCAGAAAATGCAGCTGAATTTGCTAATGTTGGCAGAAAACATTCAGATCTACCAATAACATTCTGCTTAAGTGATAAAGATTGTGAGAGAATGTGTGATTTTTTCTTGCATCGAATTAGCTGCGGTTGTCTGCCGAACAAAACGTGTTGTTGTTTACCCTTGTCTCCTCCTTCTAATGTTATTAGATAAAATGTTTATCTAATTTTCTTTCATGGTAGCAAATTACATCATGTTTCTGATTTAAGTCGCTACAGTACGAAGAAATTCGTTAATAAGTGTTGATGAATAAAAGAAATTGAATCGAGTTAATTAGTATTCGATTATATATTTTAAGAATATGAACAAAGACACGGTGAAGTGGGATAATTGTTGTGAAACGTGTAATTAACCGCAAAATAAGAAATTGGAACATGATCCGGGATTTAGAATTTCAGACCAAAAACCCAAAACCCAAATTTTCAATCCATAATATTTCAAATTCTCAAAATCTCATCCCAAACTTATACTTTAAGTTTTATATTAGCTAACACCTTAACAAAATTCGATACGAGAATTAAAAAAATGGAAAAATATATAGAAAAATTAATATCATGAGAAAAGTTTGTGTAATATTTTAAAATATGAGGGGTTTATAATTAAGTGATTATACCTCAATGGAGGATAATATAATTTTAAATTCAATTGGAAAAAACACATTGAGGTAGAATTTTGTAACATTTTAAATATGAGGGGGTGTCAATATGTGATTAGAGCCTCACATTAGGGGTTGTTGATAATATAATTTACTCAATATTTCATGGTAAAAATGAAAAAAAAAAAAAGGGTCAAGTAAATTAGTTTAGGTGGTAAATACTAAATAGTCAAACTTGATTACACGGATGCAGAAATCATAATTGCTTATATAATAGGGATCTGGATGTAATTACATCTAATCTCCGGGAGTTAAGTGTAATTAAACTTCCAACCAGCTCTGCACCAAAATCCCGTTATTCGTAGTCCCATTATTTAGGGTTCTTCATTTGAAGCAATTCGTCGTTTCGTTGGCAGAGAATATTCCAGCTCATGTGCTCTGAGAGAGGAATGAGTTCGCGAGAGAAGAATCAAACGACGCCGCACCAGCCTTTGTTGAGCAGCCTCGTCATACGTCCCGCCGAAACCAGCGGTGGCGGAGGTGGCGGTGGCGGTGGCGGTACTGGCAGCGATTACGAACCTGGCGAGGTTCGCCGAGATCCGCCTCCATACTCCCGCTCCGATCGATACGAGAGCCACGGTACGGTACTTTGTTTTCATTTCAGTTTTACTCATGCTTCCCCTTTTTAGCTAGATGATTTTCGGATTCCTAAACCTAGCTTTCAATTGTACCTTTTTTTTTTGGTCCAGTTGTTTAGATAGTTATTCTGGAGTTTGATTAGTTATTGCACTTAGTAATTTATGTGCCGATACACAAGTACCAACGATTGTATAGTTTGGAATTTTACAAGAAAAATTGCTAGTTTCTGAATGGCAAGATAGCTCTTAAGATGAGCAGTAGTGTGGCATTTGCTTCGGGTGTCAAAATTTATTTTGAATTTCGACACTTTGGTTTGATCGACAGTGAATGAAACTTGGCAGAGAATGTGATTTTGCTCGACTTAGATCTAATGATTCAGTGACTGAGTGAAGTGCTTGTAGAATCATAAGATTGTCGAACATTTCATTTTAACAATTCAACATTAAAATTAAAGTTTCAATTACATATACTCCTATGAACTCGTGGTGCAATGAAATGATCATTGGTATTGTGGTTTTTTTGAGTATAACTAGAGTTGGTAAGTCCGTTACCTGCTTATGCTAGCTAGACTACTTTTATGATCTTATATTGTATTTTAGAACTTTGTCTAAACAAGCAAGTCAAATATGTCTAGATGTTGTAGATAATCACAATTTTTTATTCAGTTTCCATGTTTTCGTAGTATCTTAATGTGTATTTGGATCTAGACTAGGCTGAGAATATTGATTGTTGACTGGTATGTGTGAATATTATACTGATAATTTGTTGGCTTGGAACCGGATTTAATTGTAGCTGTGAAATTGTTCTTACAAACTTTACCACTATCAGATTATATGGTGTTTCACCTCACATGTGGTGTCCATACAAGTCCTTTTCTTCTTTAAGATTGAAAACAAACTTTGACTACCACTATTGTTAATTATTGTGGTCAGTTTCTATATTTCAAATCACAACTGCTTGATTTGAAAGCTCTTTTTGGACAAAATTTTCTCCCTTTGGAGAAAGCATTGCCAACCTACAATCTTCTGTGGGGTATATATTGTTGTACTGATTTATTGTAATATTTCTCAGCTAGTTCAGAGGCCTTGCATAAGAAAATTTGATGAATATTTGGACAGAAAAATTCAAAATTACTTGGAATGTTTATTATTTTAAACCTTCATTTTTTTGCGTCCCAAAATATTGCAGTTTGTGCTCGTGTCCAGTAATAAGAAATGATACCTGACAAAATATTATATGTTACCATGGCTTGGAAATGGGGAATGCTTGAAAATCTCTGCACCATTGCAGGGAAAGAGATGTTTCTTTCTTTAATTCTTAAATAGGTAGAGAGGAAGTTTTGTCCCAAAGAACCCGTGACTCATATTTGCAATCAGTTTACCCTGTTCTTTTTGCAGTATAGGTTCACTCTTGATTTCATGACCTTATTCTTTACATACCTTAGTTATCTTAGGCCGTGTCCATGAGCTGGATCTTAGATTTTTTCTTTATTATTATTATCCACCCTTTCCGCAATTACCTTGTGTTGTATGTCAAGCAATGACGCTTATGGACTGTCGAATGGTGAATGAATTTTGCTGTTGTTTTCTACAGCTATGAATATTGCTTGGTGCAAGAATTTGGGTTTTGAGGAAGGCACGTTGGGAACGGGTTTTGGTTTTTAAGAATTAAGATTGTTTTATGTGGAAAACAACTTCGATGGATAGAAGATTATTGAAGTAATGACTCATTTCGTTTTCTAGCCATGGGATACGTGTTTGTGAAGTTCTGATGGTTCTGCTGAATGTGATGGGTCATGCCACAGTAGACTGATGAGCATGATCACTTTAACCCGTTTACAATATCTGTACTGTGGTGACTTGTTCATGAAAGCAGTGCCCAAGGAGATGTGAAGAGTGGTGGTAGGGATCTGGGTTAAATTAACATCACACCTGAGGGTTGTTGGGTTCACTGGTGAGAAATATATGCTCAGCCATAAGGGTGAGGAATGCAAGTGCACCAGAAAAGCTGGTTAACATCTGATGAGTTTGGAGTTAAAACCACTAAATAGTTCTTTGTTATTTGGGAGTTGATTGGGGGTTCTGGTATCAGAAAAGGTCACGGGAGCAGACTAAAACTTGAACTTTTATATCATGTCATATCGTTGAACTTGGGATTTTGTAAATCATGTTACAACAAGTTCACTGCTGGTGAGGAACGGATGCGTGGTGGCCTGGTTTGCTGCTGTGTAATAGTAAATGGGTGGTATTGCATGGACTCTTATGAACATTTATAAACTAACTGCTTGTGGGATATTTGTTTTTTTTCTTCTCGAAGGACCACATGGTCAAACATCAGTGTGGTGCCACAGGAACTTTGATATCATCAGTCATGTCATTTGGACAAGCACCTTTGAACTCGGAGACTTCTACGAGCAGTTGGAACAATGAACAAATTTTGCATCCAAAATACTAAGCGCATTTTCCGAGAACTGGGTTGCCCGCCAATTTTCGTTAATGATTAGTCAGTTTATATTATGCAAGATATGTAGGGAAAAACAATTTTTAACGTGTGATGGCTGCTAACCAAATCTAGTAAGTGGTTTGTTGTACCCAAAGATCTTGAATTCTGACATTAGGTGTGGGTAAGTACAGTAGACTATGTTCGTTCTTGATGAAGAGATGCTTCAACAAGGGTTACTGTTTATTGTCGTAATTTAAATTTGTACTTGGCATTTCTCGGGTTGCATAAATTGGCTTCTGTTGGACACTGTTCTTGGTGACCTCTACTTGTGATTGGGTGTTTACTGTATTGGGCTTCACTGGTTCTTTTCAGGATATAGAATGCGCGCAGGTTCGGTTTCCCCTTTGCGACGTAGGGATGCAAATCGTCATCGATTTAGTCCTGGTTTTGAACCCTCTATTGGTACATCATCAAGGAGTCGTGGATTTGGCAGTGGGAGAGAACCTGGTAGATTTCGTGATCACTCACCCCCTTTTGGTCGTGGCAAGTTCTCTGATAGAGGTCATCATCACTCTTCACGTGGGCCTGTTTCATTCAGAGACGAGGGCTTGCCTCGAAATAATCCTAATGTGCAGCCAAGAGAAGGAGATTGGATATGCTCAGACCCCTCGTGAGTATCTGTTATCCTTTAACATTGCTTAAGACTTGCTCCTATGTATTAGTTTATTTCATATTATGCTTCAAACTGGAAACATTGTTTAGATACTAAAACTTATGGGTTTTTTTTTCTTTTTTTTTTGGATCTGTAAAATCAAATACCTTAGTGACTGTTGCAAAAAAATCTAAAATAGGGGAACCCCCATCACAAAAACATGAAATATGAAGATCATTTGGGGGGTGGGTGGGTGGGGGTGAACCCAACTCTACTAACAGAAAATGCCCACTTAGCCAAATTTTGGCAGCAAAATTTGAGTTACGAGAGGAGAATTTGAATTTCCATTTGGGCCAAAGGGCCCAATAACGTCTAATCTCTTGAATGATCGTTTTAGTAGTCCAATGGATTGTGGAAGATGAATTCGTGATGAATAAAATTGCATTATGGCAGTCCAAAGAAATTTTGTCAAATAAAAACTTTTGCTTTCTGTTGCTTAATGTTTGAAGTTCTACATTCCTATAATCTGCTTCGCCATCATTCAGTCAGCATAGTTTTTTTCTCTGTCACGTGTATATTATATGCCTATGGAAAATGTGCTTTTAGATTCACAATTTATATGATATATGTCGTCAACTCCCATGTGTTTGTTTATATGTGATATATAGTTTGTGCAATCTCTCAGGTGTAAAAATTTGAATTTCGCAAGGCGGGACCACTGCAACAACTGCAACAGGCCCCGTTACGCCTCTTCATCCGGGAGGGGATACCTCGGCCCCACATTTCCGCCACATCAGCGTGCTGCTCCGTTGGATCGTTCTCCTCCTCGAAGGATTACAAACGGTGGCTATAATAGATCTCCGCCTCGAGGCTGGCCCAGAGATGCACCACCCCACAGAGACTTGAGACCACCAATCAGATTCCCCGATCCTCTACGCAGTGATAGGCAGCAAGAATACAGTGAAGACAACAACAACAGGACAGATTCGATAGACCTTTGGTGCCCGATTGGGGTGGGCCCCACAGAGATCGTGGTAGGGATAGTAGCAACTACTTGAACGAGAGGAGAGGGTTTGGAAGGAGGGCTTTGTCTCCACCACCAGCGCCGCCCGTTCCTCCACTACGTGGCGGCGGCGGCGGCTGGGGTTCTTCTCATATTATTAGGGATAGGAGCCGTTCTCCGCTGAGAGGCGGAGCACAACCACCGAGAGACTATCATCACCGGGATTTACACATGAACAACCGGAGACGAGATGATCACCGTGGTGGCGGCGGCGGCCGCGATGGACGAGATCCATTTTAGACAGTTAAAGGTGTGTCTAAAATGGTGGCTGTATCAATGTAATACTCTTTTGTTTCTACTGTTGAGAAATGGTGGTGTGGTGGTTTTTTCTTGCAGTACATTCCTTATTTTGGTGGTTGGATTCTGAAACACTGGTATGCGCTGTGTTTTCATTGCTATTCATGATTGCTCCTAGTGGGCAAAATTATTTACTATATGTTCGTCATGGTCCAATTTTATTTATTTATTTTTTGTTTGAAAATGAATATATTTTATGTTAGCCATTTATAATTTGTCTGAATTTTGAATGGAGCAGTGACAATGCATAGAGAGAACGGAATTAGGTGGTATAAAGTATAAACGGCTTATCGCATTTATTTGACCTGTCTTATTTTTTATCTAATCTATCTATTTCATAATCTTCAATTTTTAAAGTTTTGATGATGATATGTTTTATAATCTTCATATTATTTTAGTTAAAGTTTGCAATTTATTTTGTGTTGTTTTATATGAAATACTTAAAAAGGAAATTAGGGGCGTTACTATTGAGCCCAAAAGAAATTCTCAAAACCCGGCCCAAACATAATACCTATGCTATCTATTTTCCTTCAAGAATGAATGTGTTCTTGGTGTACTGTGTGTTATCGATTAGATATTGAGTCGAACCACGCGCAAAATATGACCATTGTTGGTGGAGTAAGAAAGTACAATTTCATTTGATCTGAATATAAACCTCATCTTTAATTACTTTTTAGGTCGAGCTCCTTGTACATAGTTAGTCTACCTTAATTTAGATCTCTGATACAATTTACGAGTTATTGAGCAAGAGAATTTTTTTGACGAACAATTTTAGATTTGCTTCACAACTTAAATTTAAACGACCTTTTACAAATTAAATTAATAAATAATAATAACATATATATTTTTTTCATATTTCTAAAAATGAGTAAACTGCAAAAACTACCCCTGTGTTATCTTAAACTAGCAAAAACCCCCCTGTGTTAATTAAACTAGCAAAAACCCCCCTATGAAATTTTTTAAGTAGCACACTCAACCCATAACCCATTTGAGTGTTGACCTGCTGTGAAAATACAGTAATACCCTTGGGGATTTTTTCAGTTATTAGATTATTTTATTTTTTAGCTATTAAAAAAATAGAATTACTAAAATTTCTGCATATATCAGTTATTTTTTACTATCATAAAATTTCTGCATATTTCAAATTATTTTAAATTTGCTTCTTGAATTGGCTGAAAATACAATTAAATTATTATACTCATTAAAAAAAGACAACTAAATGATGTAAAAAAAAAATTAATAATGTATTTCTTTATCTTGTAATTATTTTTAAATATCTATACTTAATTTGATTTCTAAAATGTTTAATAACATTTCAGTTTAAAATGTTTACCAAAATTTATTTAGTATTTCAATTTCTAAACAATCAAAATAAAACATATAATATTAAAAATAAGAAAAAATCAGAAAAAGAAACAAACAATGAGAATTCTGGAAAAACTTGGCAGCATCTCCGACAACACCACCATTGTCTTCCCACTTTGAAATTGAATCCCAAAATACAATAAACCAAAAATTTCAATCTCCCTCTTTAACCAGATCGAGAAAAAGAAAAAAAAAAAGGGAAAGATTAGAGCTTCTGCAAAACCCAGCAATAACCCAAAAAAAAATTCCACAAAAATCCGTCGAATATCAACGCAGATTCCTCCTAAAGTTATGTATGCAGAGAAGATTTTACATGTGGTGGATAAATGCTCGAATGTCAGCTTGTAATCGGGGTTGTAGACTGGGCTCGAATTCGCGCCACCGTCGCTGCCGCCGAGGAGCTTCCAAATCAACGTGAAAAAGAAGATTAGTTGCTCCGAAGTCCTTACTGATTTTGATCCCCCAATCTCCAGAAGCCCCTCCGGTTGTCTGGCCACTTGCTCGAGTGTGTACTTTAAGCGGCGGCGGTCACGGCGGTGCTTGGAGAGCAACAAGGCGGAGCAGCCCATGGTGTAGGATGTGTTGCGGTGGTGGGAGGCGGCTGGACGGGATGTTGGGGTTGGAATTGGTGGTAGGAAGATGGAATTAGGGCTTGTGTAGAATTTATAAGAAAGTCATTAAAATACATACTAATACATTTTTGTTGGGCAATTTTGTCATTTTAGGTTGAAAAATTCATTACCACCTGCAAATCTGGCGCGTGTGTTACACGAGAGTGCACTAGGGGGGGTTTATGCCATTAACTAAATTTCACAGGGGGGTTTTTGCTAATTTAATTAACACAGGGGGGTTTTCACCATTTCAAGATAACACAGGGGTACTTTTTGCAGTTTACTCTTCTAAAAAATTAATAGTAGGATGACTTGGACGATTCCTATTGGTTCATTCCCCTGCGCTTATTACAGACGACAACGTCTGAGCTCACTCGCAACAAATTCCCCGAAAAAAACAGGGCTCCTGAGATCGACGGCACAAAACCCACCTCAGCGGCTCCTATGAATATCAAGCGTTGGATTAAAAATCCAATCGTGAACCGTCGGATGAGATAGCTACCATGATCTGACCGTTAAAAAATCTACAAAAATTGAATTTCAAAAGCTAAGCCAGAGAGAGGGAGGAAGAAGAGACTTTTAAAGCCCACAACCCCTCTTCTCTTTCGAAAAACAAATTCCCCTTCCCCTTTCTTTTTTTGTCCTCCCTATCACGATTGTTGAGATATACGTACACGCATTTGTATCTATCTATCTATCTATCGGGATCGATTGTTTTTTCTGATTGAGAACGAACAGCAGCCAATTGTTTGGGGTTTTTTTTTGTTGTTCTCCTCTTCTGTTTGAATCTGAGCTCGTGCGAGTAAATTATTTGGAGTTTTGAATTTCTAATTTCTCGATTTTTCAGTTTCGTTAGGTTATCAATGTGAAATCAGTGTAATTGGGGGAAAATCAGTGGAATTCGAGTTTGATTTATTTGATTTTTTTTTTTACCCTCTATTACTTGAGGAGGTGGTTTGTTTGGTGAATTGTTTGTTCTATTGCTTCGGGTTTTGGGGGAGAGAAAAATTAATTTAATGGAGCAAAGAGAGGGAGGGGATTTCCCTCCAAAAAATCAGCCGCCGCCTCAATCGGAAGCTTCTTCGACGGCGCCAGCGGATTTCCCGGCGAGGAAGCTTGTGAGGCAGCTGGATTTTACCGGCTTTAGTGGTGGCGCCGCCGCATCGACTGTGGAACAGCCACAGTTAGCGAAGCCGCCGCCGCCGCCGACGACGCAGAAGCAGACGCACCTTCAGCCGCCGACGCAGATGCTGTTTACCGCGATGCAGCAGCCTCCGCCGCCTGCTGCACCACCCGCTCATCCTTTCATGCGTTCTGTCGCGTGAGTCCCTTTTGCAATTACATACAAATACTAATTGTTATTTATTTTTGTAAAGGTTGAAACTTTTTGTCAGAAAATGTTTTCAGAGCTTAAAATAACCCACTCTCTTTGAAAGTTCTGTTTGGGTTAAGTAATTCAAAAGTTTTTTCGTTGCCAAGTTTTGTTCTTTTGATATTTTTGTTGATGATTTTTGAGCATTCAATTTGGTAGAAGCATTGAGAGTAAATGTTTTTTCATGAAATGCTAGGACACACCCCTACTCTCTTACTTATATGAATGGGTCGAGGCTGTTGACATATCCGCTATGTCTGAAAGATTAAATCATTAATATCTGAGAAATGTGACTATTTGTATTTTTAGTGTTTTTGTGAACAATTGAAATCTGACATAGCCCTGAAAATGACAAAGTTTACTGGGAGCTTTTCGAACTTTGAACGCATCTTTTATATTTGTCAAATCAGTGTGTGACTCCGTTTTTCAGGGATTATATGATGCTAAAATGCTAGGGTTGATTATTTTTTGTTGTCCCACCTCTTCATATTCTGGCCTCGACTAATTACATATAACTTTGAAAACTTTCTGTGATAAACGAAAGCTTCTTTCTACTACTATCAGCTCTGGGCAGCATTTTCAATTCGTAGTCATTTTCTTAATTGGCTTGCCAAAACGAGACAGAAATATCCTTTTTTATTTTCTATTAATTTCCTGGTCGGTGCATTTCTTTCTACATAATTGCTCCAACTCTTCATTGGAGCATCCTATAAAATAGAAAAATGTCTGTTTCTGAAGCCTGGTTTTTCAATATCTTTCTGTCTTTGTTTATTCATTAACGTGTATGAAACAGATGTCCTTATTCTATCCTGTCAACCCATGATTGTTTGTTTCTCGAATTTGTGCTTTTTGTAGTATGATACTTGCTTTGGTACATTCTCTTGAGCACAACATTCTTTAGAATGGTGGTTCTATTGTTTTTGAAATGCAATTGAAACTCCTTCTCCCTCAGGAAACCCGAATCACCAAGAGCCCGGCCAAGACAAAATACGAATGAAGTAAAAGATGCTACTCCGAAGAAGCAAAAGCAGTGTAATTGCAAACATTCACGTTGTTTGAAGCTGTAAGCAGCTGCCATTTATCAATTTGTGTGTGTGTGTGTGTGTGTGTGGAGAATGACTGAACCAGCATAATTTCATTGTCTTCAGATTCTTGCTGTAAATTTTGTGCATAATCTCGAGCAGTAGAAACCAAGGAGATGAGCTTCCTCTGGTTTCATTCTACCATAATAACTTTAGGCTTCCTCTGTTGTTAGTGGGAGAAGTTACCCTTATTGGCTCGTAAATTATTCGCATCAAGAATCATATTCAATATTTCAATTGGACTTCTCATTTATTTGTAATTTATGCCGAACCATCTAGCTGTTAATAATGAACATCATCTACTAAAGTTACTGAAAAATTTCACGATTCTGCTGATTCAGTAAGAATCCATCGAGAGGGATGGTGTAGAGATCTTACTTTATAAACGTGGCAGTATTTGTAAGTTATATGGACTTATTCACTAGGAGGGGTAGACGCTCTCTGTCATATTTACTGTCACCTGTTTCAGGGAAAAATCTTTAGTCAGATATACACTATAAATAATGGAGGACAAATTAGTTGTAACTCACCCTTTATTTATATATGTAAGCTATTGGATAATTCTACATGGTGTACAATTCTTGCAACTGATAGTTTCCCTTTGCTGTGGCCTGTGGGCTTTTCTGTGTTTTGAACAATATCGGTATAGTATATGTTTATTGTCCATACCACTTGGATTTTCATATATCAGAACTTTCAATGGACAATTTATTTCACCTCACTTCATTTCACCTCGCAAGGTCTAATATCCTATTAATTTTATGGTCAGATATTGTGAATGTTTTGCATCTGGTAGTGTCTGTTGTCCCGGTTGCAACTGCGTGAATTGTCACAACAATGATTCAAACAAAGCTGCCAGGGATGAAGCAGTTAATACTACTCTCGAGCGCAACCCGCACGCTTTCAGGCCAAAAATCGCTAGCAGTCCACATGGAGCCCGAGATATCAGGGTACTGTCACAGTTCAAATACGCCATATGTCAATTATTTTTGAGACCCTAACAGTTTTATTTACGTTAGCTGTGATTATTGTCTTGGTCTTTTTTCCTAATTGGCATATCTTCAATATCAGCAATACGCAGCCGTAGATAAATCTCATTTGTTTACTGCATAAAATTGAAGTGCATGTTTCAACTTAATTATTTTTCAGGCTCAATTTTGTTTTTAATGTTGTACGTTAACTGTTTGTTTGAAGTTAGTTGTGATTATTGTTCCAATTATTATCGATAAATATACTTCACCTGTGACTATAGACAACTACCACTGAAGATGGATGTCGCACACTCGCAGTGTTTTAACATGCATGTTTACTTGATTTTGTAACATGCAGGAAGAGGTGGGTGAAGTTTTAGTTTCAGCAAAGCATAACAAAGGATGCCACTGTAAGAAATCAGGGTGTCTTAAGAAGTACTGCGAGTGCTTCCAGGCAAATATTCTTTGTTCCGAAAATTGTAAATGCATCGACTGCAAGAATTACGAAGGGAGTGAAGAGAGACAAGCTCTCTTTCATGGAGATCATGTCAATAACATGATGTATATCCAGCAAGCGGCAAATGCTGCCATTACAGGTGCTATCGGATCTTCTGGCTATGGCTCTCCTCCATTGACCAAGAAGCGTAAAAATCAAGAACTCTTCTTTGGATCGACTGTGAAAGACCCTGTTCACAGGCTTACACAGTTACAGCAGCAGGTACATTCATTGTTATTTCCTCGAGGTTAAAAAAAAATTCATTTATTTTTCATGTTTCGCTGTTTGATTTTGACTTGTATCGTTTGTGTATCTAATAGAGTAGTTTTTTTCGATCCAACACAGGCTAACCAAATTAAGGCTTCTGTATCTTCCTCTTCATTGTCTTCAATACCTGGTTCTCGCCCTGGCAATACGTCGGTTTTGAGCCCTTCAAAGTTAACTTATAGGTATATATATATATATATACATACAAACTCCTTTCTCAATTAAAGGTCTCTATAAGTTACTACAGACAACTAACTCGAGTATTACTACATTTTAATTAAAGGTCTCTATTAGCTGACATCATTCAGCCCAAGGATTTGAAGGAGCTCTGCTCAGTTCTTGTTGTATATTCAGGAGAAGCTGCAAAGATGCTTGCAGGTACACATATTTGAGAAAATAAAAATCAAAAATCTTGGACGGTATTTAGTAAGAACACAAGTTTGAGTAAATATTAATAAAATGCAGAAGAAAAGCTAGCGGAAGATTCTAGAGAAACATCTTCGTTTGAGAATCAGACAGAGAAGAACAAGAATGTAGAGTCTGGTTCAGATGAAGTACCGAAAGGAAGGCCGATGTCTCCAAGTACATTAGCTCTAATGTGCGATGAAGGAGATACAATAATGTTCGATACAACCAATGCTAATAGTGCTGCTTCCACGAATGGCGTAGCTGTCCATAATAATAATAATAGTAATAATAATAACGTGTCTTCTCAGCTGTCAGACGAGCAAGGACCGAGTGAGGCATATTCCGAGCAAGAAAGAATCGTTCTTACAAAGTTTCGAGATTGTCTTTACAGGCTCATCACTTTAGGCGAAATAAAAGGCAAGTGTATATCATTTTTTTTTTCTGAAATGTTAGTATTTATCACAGCCCATCTTTTTTGCATCAAGAATTTCGACTTTTTCACTTTTTAAGCATTTTTCGAACTATCTCTCTCATCTTTTGAGCTCTCCCCTGTACTGTAACACAGAAACAAATTCTTTGGCGAGAACACAAACAGCTAACGAAAACGAGTTGACCAGAACTTTGAATGTGAAAACGGAAACCCTAAGCAACGGTGTTCCGAAATTTGCTTCTTCTTCTTCTTTGTCGGCGGTGGTAAATTTAGCAGAGGGTGCAGCGGATAATGTGGCCAGTCTGAAAATAACAGGTCCAGAAAACGGGGATGTAAGAAAAAAACCCGAAGGAGAGTTGTAATTGTGTTTAGGAGTAGGTGTCTGTCTCCATAATATATGGTATATGCTGCTGTTGCATCTCTCTTGTAATATTTTAAGAGGCCATTATTCATTGTGTTGATTTCGGCTTTTTTCTTCGGTGTTGCAGCTTATATACTACTTACTATATATAGATGTCATTCTTAGAACTGATCTAAATCTGATGTAGATCCTTTTATGCATTCATTGACATATACCAATTTCAGATATAAAATTTCCATTTTTTCTTTTACCTGAAAAGAAACGCACCCCTTTAAAGAATCGTAGAGTATCGACTTTTCTTGAAGCATGATGATGTTTAAAAATCGAAAATATCGAGTTCCTTAAATTATTTAAGTAAAATATAATACAGTGTTGGAACACGTATCACGAAATCCACAAAGCTGTTGGAAAAATACACACGAATTTCGTCTAATATGTATCCTCATTCCTGAATCAACTTCATACAAACTTGAAGTTATTGTGTTTATTATTTGTACTGAAATCACTACACATTATTATATCTCTTTAATATTGATAGCAAAATAAGTGCTGCTTTATTCCTCATAGCCCTCGAAAAAGGCATGGAGCTTCAGGATTACAGTCGAGGCCTTGCTACTGAAGCTGTCGAAGCAGGTGCACTCTGCATAAAAAAGGAATGCTGAGTCTATATAATAACCTTCAACAAACTCAAAATCGGTATCTTACAATAAAGACACCGATTTTTTTTAACTGAATAGGAAGTAATATGACGTAATCTTTAAGCTTTAAGAGAATATTTACCAACGGGATGCCTCTGGTTGCTCTTTCTTCCAAATACTTTGATGGTTTGAAGAATTTGCCATATGCTTCAGACCACTTCTGGAGACTTCTGTATAAGCGATCGGCTCCAATGGTGTCTGCCCAGAAAATAATACCACCACTACCACAAAAAGACAAACCTTCTCAGTAATATTTTTTCGAAACAACTCGTAGTGTATGTATTCTTTACAAGACAATATAAAACAAATAATGTCATAAGCAATAACCATATAGCCACATTGCACTTGCCATTTTCACAATTATATGCATCTATACATGGTTTCTGATATTGCCAACAAATCTTTACATAATTGAGAGAATTTGTGGGTTTCAAATTTTCAGAAAAAGGAAGTTGACAAGAAAAGCCAAAAAAAAAAAGGAAGAATATATTAATCATATTATTCGATGTACACGGTGAAGATTAATCACAACTCACCGATAAGATGGGAAACTCATGCCAAGTACAGAGGCAATATCAAGATCTGATGCTCGGACAACGACACCATCATCTAAAACCCGACATGCCTCATTCACCACTGGGAAGAGTATCATCTCGACCACTTCTTCATCAGTAACAGATATAGGCTGTGTGGAAAGTATGTTTGCAGGGAAAAAAATTAATTACAAAATAATTTTGAGTGCACTAAAAAGAAAGAAAGATTAAACCCCAAATATTTCTGCAATATATGTATATATACCTTCCCATTAGGCATAATATTCGTTAGCCTCCTAGATTCCTCTATTATTGGGAGCACCGCCGGATCAGGTTTTGGCTTGCTTCCCTTCTCATAGGTATAGTATCCTTTTCCATTATTTTTACCTGCAAATGAATAATACCTTTTAAGTATCACGTAAAGATAGAAACAAAACCTTTGAAATCAAGCAAGAAAAATAATTCATCTCTACCATTTCTCCCATTCTCTATGAGAAGCTCAACCAATGGAGTAGCAAAGGTTCGATCCGGAAATGTTAACGAAAATTCTTTTGTTGTTGCCACAGCTACTCCATATCCTGCAAGATCCTGAAGCCTGTACAGAACCAGGAATCACAGTCATAAACAGTTTGCTATCTAGAATCATTATAAAGTCAAGAGTTAAAGCCTCAGAGAACATTGATCGAGTTTAAATACTATAGTATTAAACTATCAAGAAAGGCCAGGCCACCTTTGGCAAAGACAGATATGTAAAGTCTTGGATTGACGTATATATATGTATTAAAAGGAAAGAAAATTACTCGAATGGGCCTATTGGAAGGCCAAAGTTTCTGATAAGTTGATCGATTCTGAAAAGATCAACTCCCAAGTGAACCAGAAGATGTGCACTTTGAGAGTACGGAAAGAAAGTACGATTGACTGCAAAGCCAGTGCAGTTACCAACCACAACAGGAACTTTCTTTATGATCTTCCCAACAGCCATTAGATCAAGAACTACTTGAGGAGAAGTCTTATCTGTCCGTATAATCTCTAGGAGAGGCATCACGTGTGCAGGACTGTCAAAATTATTACATTTCAGTTAGCAATTAAAGGAATTTATCCAAAACTTGCAAATAGAACTTATGAAATCAATTTTAAAGTTTATCCGACATCCTTCTGCTATTTACTTTTTCCTCTTTCTCACCACGCAGAACTTGTGAAATCAATGTTGAAGTTTATCGAGGAGAGACTAACCTGAAAAAATGCGCACCCACTATCCGGTCTTGTGATTTGGTCTTTTCTCCAACTATATCGAGGTCAATAGTAGAGGTATTTGAAGCCAAAATACAGTGAGGTGGGCATGCCTTCTCGATATCACCAAATATTTTCCGCTTCAGTGGAATATTTTCAATAACAGCCTGCAAAAAGACATAAATATATCAGGAAATTACAACACTACAGAGCAACAATAACGTTAATAATTGGGTCTTATTTTGTCTTGCCCTGAATCAAAACTGAAACTGAGGTCTGATAGATTAGATGAACTATGAGTCTGATTTCCGTAACAGAGAGAACTACTGGTTTTGGAGATCGTTGAAAGTTGATGGTCAGATAGGAGACAGTGAGTAGACTAGATGCAAACAGTAGGTAATGTCTGTCAAAAATAAAATAAGACAAGAAACAAAGAATAATGATGATACACATAATATGAATCGACATACATCCACATATTACCTCAATGACCATATCCACATCTTTGAATTCAGAGTAGTCCAAAACGCCTTTAAGCATTAAAAGGGCTTTCTCGGCTTTATCCTCTACCAACTTTTTTCTAGAGACCAGACCACGAACATTTGCTGCCACACAAGCACATAGTTATGAGTTTCACATGAAATCTGACAAAGCAAAAGAACATGTAATCCCCACTGATAAAGCAATATTTATTATCTCTTTTTTTATTTGATAAGTGAATATAATGAAATTTTTTAAAGATCAGCATAAGCAAATATCAACTAACCTTCTACCATTTTTATCCCCTTGAGAAGATACTCAGAATTGATTTCTTTGAGAATAACATAAATATCACTCAAGATTAGAGCCGTAGCTATGCCCGAACCCATAAGTCCACCACCAATAACAGCGACTTTCTTTATTGGTCTTGGCTTGAGCCCAATATCAGAAATATTGGGTACCTGTACAGTTCAGGGTTAGCTTTTAATCCATGAAGTATGAAGTTGTTTTCTGAAACTTGATAAAAGCAAAATTGCAACTCTCTGGTTCCAATTCTCATAAAAATCATTATCACTTTGATGAAATGAACCCTGAAACGCTTCATTTTACATCGCTAATCAAATAACCGATGACCAATAAAAACAATAATTTCATGTTTAACGTCACAGAGAAAAAATGTGCACAAGCGTTTGTTGGTAAACTTTACCTTCGTTGTTGCCCTTTGAGCAAAAAATGCATGCACTAGGCCTTTCGATGCGTCCGTAGCGACTAGCTCTCTGAATACCTTTGACTCCTGCAACCATATTTTATCCCAGTAAGTTGCTGAATTGAAAGAAAACTACTTTTCACAAATTAAAACTGAAGATTTACAGAACATTTTTTTCTACGTATTTCAAAAAAATATTATGACTGTTCAAAATAAGTTCAACTCAGAGTTCCAGTATTCGGGGGTATCCTAGCTTATAAGCTTTTCACCTATAAAGTATCGAATGTTTCCATCCTTTCAACTAAACAGTTTGATAAAACTTCAACCAACAAACAGTGTCTGAGAAATAAAATCACCTTCAAAAGACCATGATATCCACCATGAATGATTCCTTCTTCAATCACATCAAGACATGCCTGGTGCTGAGGCATATTTTTAGCAACCTGTTTGACCTGCTGTCTTGCCGATTTTATTATAGCATGCATTTCTGGCAGGGAACCAAGTTTGTCGATACTATGAAGAGAACGTATCCATGGTTTTCGCCTATCTGCAATATCTAATGCCCATTGTCTGGATACTTTCAGCAATTCTCCTGAAGGTACAACAGCATCAACAAGGCCGAGCTTCTTTCCTTCTTCTGATGTTACCGATCTAGAGAACTGTAAAAGTGCATGATTATCAAATAAAAAGTGAAGGAAAGCCTAAATTTTGTAAAAAAATGTCTTGTTAATACATGCATAAAATATAGCAGATAACATCAATCAACCAAAGTTCATCTTGGATCCGCACATTTAGCACTAACATCTAGTCTTCTAATTATCAGTATAGTATAAGGAGGAAGACCTACCAGAATAATTTCAAGAGCTTTAGGCAGCCCTATAAGCCTCGGGAGACGTTGTGTACCTTCAATAAATAGATAATTTAAAACATAATCAGTTAGTAGAAAAGAAATGAAGTTCACTAGCTTAGTTTAAGCTACTGTCGAAATTATTATGTAGCAAGTCGTCCTACCTCCCGAGCCAGGAATAACTCCAAGTGTGAGTTCTGGTAGCCCGAGTTGTGTTTTTGGTGCAGCAATACGTGCATGGCACCCCTGCACAATATTTCAAAATAGGATGAAACGACTGTGATTTTACCAAGATACGATAAACTCAAAAGTAACAGAGGACGGTTTTATTTTAAGTGTATTCAAGAATATCACAGACCAAAGCTAGTTCTAAGCCGCCTCCAAGTGCAAGTCCCTCTAAGGCAGCAACAGTAGGCTTCTTCCCATCTGATGAAGACAGCAAATAAATTTAGGCCAAACTTTCGGCAGTACTAAATCTTGAATTTGAAAAATCAAGAAATATCCAATCAATTACGGACCTTCAATTACGTTGACCAATACATCAATCGATGTATCTGGTAAGACAGAAATATCTCCTGCACATTCGCAAATTTAATTAATTACCGATCGAGCGGTACATGTTCTAGTTTAATAGTAAACTAGAACATTAATCCACGCATACCTGTTTTATGTACCGTCTCGAACACATTTATGTCAAAGCCGCCCGAGAACCTACCGGCATTGCCTACAGGTCAAATAAATTTACATGATAAATCATCAAATCATACCAAGCAGCAAAATTCAAGAACTAAGTTGTTCAGTTGTCTCTGTGAAATTACAGTATCAATCAAATTACCTATGTTTCTAACACAAATTAAAAATACTAAAAACAGTAATTAAACACCCGATCAACAATAATTAATAATATCTGGCTTTTTTACCAACACATAATTATTAAATAAACCATCACAAAATACACACACACACACACACACACGGAAATGGAGAATTACCGGCAAGAACAATAGCTTTAACATCATCTCTTCTCATGGCCTCACTAAATTTCTCCTTCAATCCATCAAAAACTACAAAAAAAAAGTAGGCCAATCAGAAAATAGTAACCATAACGAATTTCTATGTGATCTTCCGAAGCTTACTGGTAAGGGCGAGAGCGTTAACGGGAGGATTAGAAATGGTGACGATCGCAACGCCGTCGATCACCTCCATTGTTACTCTAGCTCGATTCATTGTTCCGCCGCTCTTTTGGATCAGATAGAGAGAGAGAGAGAGAGAGAAATATGCAGAGAAACTGGTACTGCCACTCCTGTACGACGGCGTTTCGGTTCCTCGACGAAAATGATTAAATTAATCGTGGAAAATCGAGATCCAGTGAGGAAATTCAACTGGGGGAAAAAGGCTTAATTAATTTCCCTATAAGCTGAAATGATTTAGCAATTTCGGAGCTTGACTGTAACTTTTTACAAGTGGTCGGCGGTCGGTGGCGGCGGCCGGCTGTCGGTGGTCGCAAGTGATGTCTATTCAATAATTAGTAGTCAACGCTGGTATATTGACCTTTTTTTTTTTTTTGGTACTCTATGATTTGAAATCATGCAACTTGTATTTATAGTTTAATAATAATAATAATAATTTTTTGATGAGATTTCAAATAATTTCATAGTGTGGATTAGGATACATAACTTTGTAGGAGTGAAACTTCAATTTTATATAGTTTCCGTGTTTCGAAAACATTTTGTGTTGAGCACTCGAGGAAATTTGGCAAATATCTTATGGGTCGTTTTGTAATTTCTAAAAAATCAGAAACATGTTCGAATAATATTTTTCAAATACTCTTGTTATTTCATAATTATTTACACGATTTAATAATCAATTGCATACTTATAGTTGATAGTATAATTTATTTTGAATATGTCTGTAATAAAATAAAAATAATAATTTTTATATAAATAAAAACTTTATACCCTTATAATTTCGTATTTACATGTCTCCCCCAAACGTTTTCTCGTGTCCGTTTCCTTGTTCCTGGTTATATGATTTGAGTAGAGAATTTTTAAATAATATAATGTCTTCTAATTTATAAATATATTACAATATAAAGAAATAAAAGCAAATTAAGATACACACGTGAAAATTAATTCAAAACATCCACGTCACATTATAAATCAAAGAAAATTAAATACAATTACATAGTAGCCCCCAACAAGTGCCAAATTGTGAGTTTCCCGTCCTTTTCATTTCATTTATTAGCGTAGTCACATGCCTAGTCTATTCTAAACACACATTTTATCTAATAAAATATATTTAATATACACTTAAACATTTGATAAATTAATAATCCTGTTTAGTTAATAATTTATTCCGGCCCCGACTCGTAGTAAACATATTATATTATTAGTTCGCTAAATCATAGAAATTTAACCGTAACATAAAATTAATCCAAACGTATATTAATTATACAGGCGAGATTGTCTATACGATCAGATTGGATTGGATTTGAGGTATTCAAATGTAATTTGATCATATATCAAATATGTGGATAGGAAATTTAAATAAAAAAACACCACTAATAATTTATTTATTGTTTGTTGTATTAATAATTTTAGTTTAATGAACTAAATCGATTTTTATTTGAGTTACTTTATCAAAATTAATACAGAAATTCAGCCCGTTTACAATCTTACTCGGCCCATACCCCAAGGAATCAAATTGGCCCGAATGTTGAAAACGCGGGGGCATTATAGTAATTTCAGCAACGGGAGTGGTGTGTAAGTGTATCTATCTCTATTTCAGCTATAACGAAAGAACTAGATTCTGTTACTATAAACTGAAACAGCTCACTACTCTCTCTCTCTCTCTCTCTCTCCTCTTTCTCTCTCTAACTCTCTCTCTCTCTCCTGGTATAAAAGGCGTGAAGGAGAGGTGGGGGGAACACACCATTTTCAATTTTCTCGATCTCAAAGCAGTTACACAGAATCACCACCAGAGCGCTTCTTCACCCATCGATTAAACACGCACACACACAAACACACACAATTACACACACATTCTCTGTAGACATGGCGTCGTCTTCATCTTCGTCGTCTTCGCTCGATTCAGAATGGAGTAGGATACGAATATTTACCTTCCGAAAGATCGATGATGATGACGTGCTTCATGGTTCTGTCCTTCTCCGTCATCGCAAGCGTCGCGACACCGTCGAGGTATATATTTTCACTTTCACTTCTACTTTCTCCGCCGCCTTGCTCCGCCGTAGCATATTTATATATATATATATATTATATATAATTTTTCTTTTTTTGTTTCGATTTTTTAAGTACGTAGTTATTGAAACTGCGCGCTTAGATCTATTCCTGAATTCAGCTGTTTTTTGACACTCGTTTATTTCTATATACTATGTGTGTGTGTGTGTGTGTGTGTGTGTGTGTGTGTGTGTGTGTGTGTGTGTGTGTGTGTGTGTGTGTGTGTGTGTGTGTGTGTAGATTATGGCTTCTACGGGTCAAGTAGTATCATGGAAGAACAGAAAAGGAGAGGAGATGCTTTTTGTGAGTGAAAAGGTATTTAATTTTCTGTGATATTTAATTAATTAATTATTTGAGTTCTCCCTAATTAATCACATAATTAAGAATTAATTAATCTCGTTTTCTCATGATGCTTCAATTAAAGATTATCTTGATTCAATATTTTTTTACTTTATTCCATGCATGCATGATTATTAATTATTTCAATTTTTTTCCAGAGTGTTATCAAAAAAGATGAACCAATTCTTGGAGGCATCCCAGTTTGCTTTCCAAGGGTATATATATATATGCAATTCTTTTAATTAATCCTTTAATTCAACTCCATTTTAATTCAATTCGCCTTTGCGTTTATTCAATTTAATAAAATTGATCGATATTTTTTTTTGTATTTCTAAATCGAATGATCAGTTTATCAACAATGGAAACATCGAGAACACCTTTCCGTCTGGCTTGATTCTTGACCGTTCCGTCCCTCAATCCGACTATAAGCCGATTCTTGCTTTCATTCTCGGGTCATCGAATCGTGACTCTTTAAACTGGCCTCATAAGTATACAACTAACCGTCTTAATTTATTTTTCTTTTCGATCTTTTTTAACCGGTGATAAAGTGTTTTAAATTGTATTAAATGGCAATATATTTATATATCTTTTGTTTTGTCGTCGCAGATTTGAGTTCCGCATAAAGTATCATCTGCTGGAAGAAAACGGAACTCTTGAGATGGAATCCCGTATCGAAAACACCGATGATAAGCCTTTTACATTCCAGTTTTGCTATCAAAACTACTTAGCTGCCTCAAATATCGAGTATTAATATTATACTAATGCGATTTATATGCTGTTTAATTTCGTTTATTATCGCAACAGTTCTAATTAATCTGAAATTACATATATATATCTTCCCTTGTTCAGTAACATTCAGATTGGAGGATTGGATAAACTGGAATATCTGGACTATCAGAATAACAAGAACCGACTTACTGAGCAGAATGATAAAATCGCCTTCCGATCTGAAGTGAGTACACATATATGGATATAAAAATAAAATGCCGATTTTAATTTACGTTGTTAATTAGCTCAATTAATTAATCTCTTGATTTCGATCATCGCTCACATACGTTTACGTGTAGGTGGACAGGGTGTATGTCGACGTGCCAGCTGGAGGGAATAATAGGGTGATCAATGTTGTCGACCATGCGGAACGTCGAATTTATACCATCGAGAGAAGTGGTACTAGTCTTCCTGACATTGGTAAGGCTTACTTTATATGTGCTTTATATTCAACGAAACGAATTATTTTAATGAAAACCTGCGTATATATGTATTTAACTTAAATTTCGATTTTTCATTTTTTTTTGTTTTTTTATGATAGTGGTGTGGAATCCATGGATTGAGAAGGCAAAGACAATAGGTGATATGGGAGATGAAGAGTATAAGAATATGGTGTGTGTGGGGCCCGCTGCAGTTGTTGATCCGGTTACGTTGAATCCCGGCGAGGCGTGGATCGGAAAACAGAGTGTTTCCATTCACGAAATGGTCTGACATGCATGCTGAATATATCATCTATTTTCTCTAAATACTGTTTTCTGCCTATGTACATGTAATATTCAGGCAGTAGTTACGTTGTGATTTCAGTACATTCTTGCATGCGTCGAATTTGAGGTTACGTTTTTCGATTAGTTGAATAAATACCTAAAGCAGCTTCCTATTGAAAAACAGATATATAAATGTGTGATTTTTTCTTACTGCTAATTGGTTGAGATATGGTTTACTAAGTACTAGTTTGTGATCTTTCAATAGTGTTCAGATTTGCTCTACTCAAAATATTGGAAGCATGCATGTATATGTATTGTCCTTTTTACGTACGTGCTTGCATGCATGGGCATGTTTGTCAAGACTATTGTATATGTATTATCTATAACGTAGTTGCACATAGTATAACCTTAATAGTGTTGAGAAAATATTGTTTAGAAAATCAGATCTAATTACTTCGTTTGTCTTAGATTTTAGGGAACTATAGAATAGAGATCGAAGTGATGCATTTACAATTTGTTAATAACAACTTTGTATAATTAATTTGCAGATCATTATATGCATGTAGTAGCGTATACTATATTGATTATTCGTTTACTTTTCGATATGTCGGAAGAAGATCGAAAAACATGGCATTCAAGTTTAGTATATACCCGACATCCATCATAAACGGGGATGCACCACTCTTCAATGAGTTTACGAAAATCATCGGTTTCGGGGTTGGGTTCTTCGTGCAGATCTTCTTGATCGTGATGATGATCGTGATGAAGACATGCATGCAGTAAGTCTTCCATGTCATCACGTACACCAACATGTTCATTTAAAATTGCAACTTCGGGAATTTCTGTATGATTAGTATTGTTCATTTCCTCGCCAATGTATTCTTCTTCGGACTCTCCATGCAGAGTCCATCGGCGTTGCCCATACAGTTTATCCCAACCCCTCAAAAGTAAATGTTTATGAACGAATTCACGATCCCCCCATTTACGACACTTACAGTCTCTACATGGGCATCTTATTTTATTATCAACGACACATTTAGCGAAGGCAAAATCCATAAATTCCACACAACCATTTTGATATACTTCTAACCGACGATTGATACGCGTTTTCCTCACGTATAAATTACCGCAAGTATACAGTATCGCATTTTGCAGAACAGTGGTTCCGGATATCGATCCACAGGGACCTTGTAGATTCACATGCTGAGTAGTGTAATTATATTATCGTTATATTATCTAGCCGATCGTAAATATTTGGAATTGTGAGAAACCTTAATTTAAAAGCATCCAAGAGCGTAAACATGCAAATATAGAATGTACATAAATAGAGTAACGACAACTCAACGCGGGGGGACTTCGATTTAGATGGGGACTTCTAGGGCCAAATCCACCTATGTATAATCAACAACGATCTACAAATCCGTTATCTAACACCACATTCCTATTCGTTAACCCAGACGCTAAAGTACTCTAACCCCCGTCTCCAGTGTAGTTAGAGTCTACCCACAGGTCCGACGTCTCCGTTCAGAACCTGCTATTAAGAGAGCATTTAGGTCAAGTCCTTAAGGGCTACCCGAAGTGCATCACGTCTCCGTTTCCACACCCCGAGCTATGTTTTCCTAACTTCAAACAAGAAATCCTCTATCGAGTTCATTCCTATTTAATATCAATCTGAGAGCTGATCAACACAATCAGAAGCATTTAATACAGGAAAACATAAACGAAATCAAAACACGACAAATAGATAACAGAAATGACGATCGAAATCAATATATACAAGACTTCATTGCCCTAGAAGAAAATTTTCTTAGTTCATAACAAACATAGAGTCAAAAGAATGTACACAAGAAAAGAAGAACAAAACGTAAAGAAATATCGTAAGAAAAACCCAAGTCGAAACCCTCGTTGAAGATTCCCGCGAAGAACTGTCGAAAACCGAAGAAAGTCGAAGATAGTCGAAGATTGATGGCTGACTTCTATTTATAGTAAGGCAAAGCTTCTTGAGGAAGCTTTGCCTTTTTAGATATTTTTTACACATCCCGAGGCCATATCGCGATATGGGTTACCGTATCGCGCGATATGGTAAAATTGCAAGCTCTCTGTTTCGTTTTCTGCCATATCGCGATATGGGAGGTGATATCGCGCGATATGGTAAAATTGCAAGCTCTCTGTTTCGTTTTCTGCCATATCGCGATATGATAGGTGATATCGCGCGATATGGGAGGTTATATCTCGATATGGTCACTGCAATAACTTCAAACTCTGTTTTGACCCTTTTGTAGCCCAAATCGGACAATTTGCATTTCACAAAAGTTGTAGACCTTGAAGTTGGCTTCGTAAATCCACTTGAATCAGCTCAATCGGAGATCGTATGAAGAAGTTATGCGTAAAATACCAAAGGCTGCCACCATCCACTTGATTGCAATATTTGCTCTTGTTTGACTTGATTCTCGGCTTCGCTTTCAAAATCGTTTCGAATCGGCAACAATATCTAACAAAACCTAAAAAAAGAAATAAAACAAGAAACGCAATAATATATACAAATAACGCCGAAACTCGGACGAATGAAGACCAAAACTCGAAGATTCGATAAGCAAAAATCGTGCAAAACGAACACTTATCACACCCTCAAACTTAGATCTTTACTCGTCCCGAGTAAATCAAAACGAAACTACAACAAAAAGAAAATAAAAACGACAAACTAAACTAGGCCACTAACGTAGGGAATCACGATTGCATTTAGCGTATGCAACAAGCCTTTGAACCCCTGGGTACCCCCAAAGGACGAGTTGTGTCTCGTGAGGGTTTTCAGACAACACACCCACAAAGTTGCCGGATTGGTCAAAGCATTGCAATTAATTCCAAAGATAAAACGAGCTAGATAACCTAAAATCTCATAATGGCCCACGGCTTTAAGGTATTCGACTTTCCCACCGACGCAATTAGTTGTTTCTACACCAAAATGAAAGATAGACTCAAGAATCCGTAATTAAACAATAAACACAATCATCGAGGGTTTTGAGTAGAAATGTGGGTGAAAAGTAAGTTTTGATTCTGAAATTCAAAAACTCGAGCTGGGCATAAGTAGGTCTTTTTATTCAATAAGAAATGACAACAACAATATATTGTGATTTTCATCACAACTTTCTTTTCTTTTCTTTTTTCTTTTTTTTTTCTTTTTTTTTTTTTCTTTTTTTCTTTTTTTCTTTTTTTCTTTTTTTTTTTTTTTTTTTTTTTTTTTTTTTGACGTAAAATAAAAACGTAAAGACCATTGATAGAACTTTTAGCCAACAACTCGAAATCGTGAACACATAATTCAATTCTAACTCGCCCCCCAAACCTCAGGCTATTATACCCCTCAGAAAAATGCGCTCAAGCTTAATCGGAAAGGATTCGAAAGGCTATCCACACAAGTTGCAAAAACGCAGTCGGAAGGTTCATCTATAATTAGCCGGTGATCCATAATTTCAATTTTAAAATCAACTAGCCCATCTACTAATTTATTAATTGTTTTGCTTCAATAGAACCCGGAAATGCAAATTACACTCGATCCTAAATGAAATGCATGTGACAAATATAACACAATTACGGAAATTGAAATACATAAACGAAACTAAATTATATGATATGCATGCAAAAGACCAAATCAAAATAAGATAAATAAAATAAAATAAAAACAAAGTCTAGCAAAGATACATCGTAAACGAAATATCAATCCAACGACTTATCCCAAAACAACGAACTAAAAACAAAAACAAAAACAAAAAGGTTCAACAAACACCACCCTCAAACTCAAATTTTAGCATAGTCCCTATGCTCAAAAGCAGAATAATAAATAAAAGGGAAAGAATACACAACGTCCCTTAGTTGTTTAGGTCCTCCTCGTCGTCGCTCTCTATGACTCGTCTCGCCCGAGAGCTCTCGGGCCTATCCACAGCTGCAGCATGTCGTGGGAAAGGGAGGGGTTCTGCGATATCTGTGGTGTCGCACCCCATTTTGCTGGTAAGTGCTCGCAACATTTTCCCGATGAATGTCAGGTGTGTTTCGACTGCCTCCTTCCACTCTCGGTCCCCATCGCCAATCTCTTGAACTGATTGCTTTCCTTTTTGGCGCGGTTGAGCAGCTCGTCGTGGAGCTGGAGCATTCTGGGCATCTCCTTCGTCGTCATCGCCTCCCATACCTGGATTGTCCGGCCCCACAGCGTCCTTGTACGAAAAAAACATCTTTGATAGGCAGTTGGGGTTTCATTGTCTCGTCGTTCTCCCGGGTCGGAACTCCTGCCCACTTACAAAGTCCGGTAATCAGTGATGGGAACATCGGACTAAGTGAAAGGTCGCTGATGCACCTCCGCATCTCTTCGTAAATTATATTCCCTACATTGATGTCGATCCCTATGATGATAGCATAGATAAGAAGCAACCGGGGGGGAAGGACTGTGCTCACCGCCGATGTGGGCAAGAGGCGGGCCGAGACGAAGTAAGCCCACGCCTTTGCTTCCTTAGACAATTCTGAACGATTGAAACTTTTCTTCTCCCCTTTCCAGGATGTCCCCCTCGGGCACAAAGTTCTGATCAAATCATCGAAAATGGTTTTCTTTTTCACCGTGTTGTAGCCTTCCAGCGATAAGTCGGGCAAATTGAAGTAGTTGTTGATATGGGCAGGATCAAATCGAACTACAACATCTCGAACCTTGACAGATGTGTTGTTATCGGAATGAGCCGCATTGGCAAAGAACTCTCGGACCATGCTGACATTCGCCTCCCCAGGATCCTCAATAAACGATTGCCAACCTCGTTTCATGACATTGTCGAAAATTTCCGGGTTCCGTTCCTCGTCAAGAAGAAGTTCTCGCTCCCGGATGATCGACTTCGCTCGGTCTTGAAAATCCTTGGCGGCTTGTGGACTGACGAATGTGTGTGTCTGAAATTCATCATCGTCGATTGGTGCCGACGGAGCGTTCCTTTGGTTGGCTCGGGCCCCAATTTTCTCTGGCACTTTTGACGAAGCCGTGGTTCGAGGCTTTTTCTTGCTCGGAGCCATATTGCAAGCGTTTGATTGGATAGGGTGGTAAATTAGCTTGAAATCTTCTTTCGGGCAATTCACCGAACACTTGGTGTGCGGTGTTTCGGTACACTATTGAATGCTCCTTTTTGCTAGGTACCTAACTCCTACAACAATGATCAATCAAACACAAGAATTAAAATCCATCATT